AATTCCATGTACTTGATTGGACTTGCAAACTTGCAAAATGGGTTAAGGACTTGGACCTGGAATCTTGTGCATCTTCAATCCCTTTCTTTTGTGGTGTCACGCCATGTGTGTCCGCCGGAGCATTTGTTTGGTACTGGTACATGATGGAGACTAGAAAGCCCCCTCGTTCACATTCTTTGTCATTTCAAATTGGGCCAGCACAGATAGTAATGTCAATTGATATAGTGCACAACAGAGACAGAGAGAGGACGATGGCTAGAATTTGCCAAACTGACCAATTATTTCTCAACGCCGATTAATTGTGTTTCAATTTTGTATAGATTCCAAGGATTTAATGGGTCAGTTTTTTTCTTATTTTAATAAAAAGTAATTAAAAGTTTGGTGTCATTACTGTCATATGGTTTGAATATACTCCTTGTTCTTATAAAAGACAAGAATATACTCGTTTTTTTTTCTTTTCAAATTTGACTACTTGATCATTTAGTATTTTAATTTTCAAAATTAATAGCTTATTTATTTCCTTTTATTTATACCAATTTAATAATTTTTATAGTTTGAAATTAATTTATTCAAAGGGAAATAATATTCTGGCTTTTATAAACTTTATTTATCTTTTTATTTGTGTTATTTTATGACTTAAATTTGGTATTCATTTGCATGAAGTTATTTATTAAACTCCCCTAGGACGCTCTAGAGAAAACCCTAGAGAGCGCTAGAGAGAATTTTTTCACTTACCATTAAAAAATGAAAGAAAAAAGAATATTTGGGCCACTTTCCCTATCTATCTATTTAAAAAATAAAGTCACAAACTAGGCTGCCATAAATTCAAGACCAAACAAGAAGACGAAACAAGAACTCATGGCAACGTTTGAAAGCTCATCATATTGTTGATATTCTTTCTCTGAACACGTATCTTAAGAAAATTAATTATCATTTTGTCTAATCAGATATGTTCAAACTTCAAATCACAAAGGCCCTTGCGTTCGTCACCAAAACTGTGCTCGTGTTTGCAAGACTGAAGGTTTCAGCAATGCTTATTTTGTCTAATCAGATTACTAAGCTGGGGTTTTGTTTGTTTTTTTTTTTTTTTTTTTTTTTTTTTTTAAAAAAAAAAAAAAAAAAAAAAAAAAAAAAAAAAAAAAAAAAAAAAAATCCCCCCCCCCCCCCCCCTTTTTTTTTTCCCCCCCCCCCCCCCTTTTTTTTTTTTTTTCCCCCCCAAAAAAAAAAAAAAAAAAAAAAACCCCAAAAAAAAAAAAAAAAAAAAAAAAAAAAAAAAAAAAAAAAAAAAAAAAAAAAAAAAAAAAAAAAAAAAAAAAAAAAAAAAAAAAAAAAAAAAAAAAAAAAAAAAAAAAAAAAAAAAAAAAAAAAAAAAAAAAAAAAAAAAAAAAAAAAAAAAAAAAAAAAAAAAAAAAAAAAAAAAAAAAAAAAAAAAAAAAATGATGGATTCTGGCTTGTGTATGACTGGGTGTTCCTATGAAATGATCAACTATTGTGTAAAGCAGAGTATTAACTCCATCTTCTATACCTTGTCCTAAATTCTCATCAAATAAAGGAAGACCTTCTTCATTACGCTTGACTGCATGGATTATATTTGATCTAGACTCATCACTTAAGTGTTTATCCCACCAAGAACGTAAGGTTCCGGTGAAACCTGTTTCTATTAAAGGCACAATTTCAGACTGTCTAAAACTGTGATTAGTGATATAACTATTGGCAACCATGGACATATGGGTTAACTTATTCATTATTTCTTGTTCTGACAGACTGTCTATATTCCATTCATACAACTTATCATAAGAGACTGAAAATTGACTCAAATTATTCCTTTCTTCAAACTGGATATCTAAGGGTGTTGTCTTAGGATACCAGTTCTTAGTTAAACTAGTAGCGTTGACTCTGTTTGTTAACCGTTTAACCTTTAACTCCGAATCTAATTCCAAATTTTTAAATGCATTTTCAATTTTTGAAATATTACTAGATTCTTCAATTTCCATACTATCAACTGACTCAGTGTCGGAAAGGGTGACTAAAGATGCATTAGATCCTAGAACTTTAAGACCAGATTTCTCAGTTTTAACCGGGGTTAACTGCTCAAGCATTTCTTCTATTTTTTTCATGGTAGGTTTTGTCTAAAGGGTAGGATGCAACTGTAAATCTTGAAATTTAACTAAGGGTTTTTCTTTCAAAGGCTTAGAGCTTGACTCAAGGAGGAGTTTGTCTACTTTAGTTTCTATTTTATCTAATTGGTTCCCAATAACTATTAGACTTTGATTCGTATAATTATTTTGCTCAATTACTAATTTATCATCATTAGCTTCTGGGAATTTAAAGGGACTGGCAATTATTTTGGTTTTTCTATGATTGATAACTATTGTTTCTACTGGGGGATGACTAGATATGACTTCAATGTTGTCTACTTTTTTCCATTTTTCTTGGGTTAAAGTTTTTAACTCATTTGGCATATAACGACTTTCAGCAAAATCTAAGTAAAAAATTTCTAACTTGGCTGACCACATATAATCTTTCCATTCATTAAAGATTTGCTGTCTTTTTTCACGACTATTGTAGGCTGTGTGGTAGCTATTTCGCCTGTCTTGATTCTCAGGAGCTTGAAGATGACTTTCTAATCTTTTCCAATTAATTTTGAATTTCCTATTAAGGGTTCTTAATTGATTATCTACAACAACTGGGTAGAGATCTGTCTCAAAATCAGTTTGTGTGGGTGATTCAGGGGATTCAGATTTTTCTTCTTTGACTGGTTGCTTATTGTAGCAAGGATGACTGACCTGGGAAGTTTTTCGTAAAGATTCTAATTTAAAATCTATCATTGTTTTTTCTAACACTAGGTCTCGTTCTGGAGTGGAAGAAGAAGCTGCGAATGAATGTCTAGCAGGGATATGTCTCTGGGATTGACCAGGTGTGGGCAACTAGTGTAACTGGACTGTAGATTTTTGTGGTGGTTGATTACCAAAGTTAATTTTAACTATGCCGTCCAAATATTGTTGAATATAATCTAAATTATTTAGACTATGTTGAATTGGGGCAGGCTGATTCTCAGTGGTGAGTGTCCAATCTATAGGAAGGGTGACATCTCACCATTTAATTGTGTGAGGGACTCGTATATTGGCCTCAGGTTTGCTACTTTGAATTAACAGAGTTTGATCTTTTGGACTTGTATTAAGAGCTTGAAAATTCATATTAGTTCCTGTGACTTTATAATAAATTCTATAAACTAGGGGCAATGGTTGAGTGCCTGGTAAAACCTCGTATCCTGAAGTTTTGATATTTAAAGTTAATGTTTTTAAAATATGGGGATCACTTAGACTTACTGTGAAATCAGGGTAACAATCAAAATATACTGGACCATTAAACAAACTTGATTCAATTATTCCTAGTGTAATATCACTAAAATTAGTGAATCTAGCATCAGATGCCAAGCCACGGGGATGGAGTTTCTAACTCGGGAGAACTGATTTATCCATCAATTAATCAAGGGCATGTTGTTGCTGATAATTTCAGATATTTATTAGTAACTAGAAAGACTTTGATAGTCCTCCTTAATGAATTGATGATTGAATTTTAAGTCAGGTCCTGTTTCTAATTTGATAGCGGGACCAATTTGGATTTGTAGTTTTTCTTTCCTTTCTACTTTTGAGATTTTACTTTCAATCAGAGTTTCGGCTGGGATCTTGATTGTGGAGTCAATTACGACCTTTAGATCATCTCATTGAATTGATTGAAAATACGGGATACCTACACTACACTACATTGGATTGCATCACAGCAGATTCCCTAACGCACGCAGGCCAATTAAACTGTCCGTATTTTTTTGGTCGTTAGATGGATCCTTGAGATTACTTGATGGATACACAGAAGAAAATATGGTAATATATTTTAAAAATAAATTTTTTTAATTTTATATAGGAGTCGGAAAATGAGTAGGTTTATGTTTAGTATGAGTTACACGGATCTTTCTATTAACAACTTCGGTTAATTTATACATCCACTTGGCCCAAATTAAACTACACTTAACTTTCAGCTGTAAATTTGATTAGCTAGATACCACCAGTTGAGCCAAACATCCAATATCAATATGGTAATGTTACATATGAAAAGGAAGATCAAATAAATCCAGTTTTATAATACAACTAAAGATAAAATAAATTATATGATCAAAGAGATGCAATGGCAGGATATGAGGAAAAAATTAAACAGTATAATCAGTGATGAAAGCGACTGTTATTGTAGATGTGCACCACAACACATATCATGTAGTCTTGTCCCTAGCTTCTTGGCTTCTGATGATATTCTCTCAAATATTATGCAAAATAAAGAACAAAAAAATTATTATCTATCATTAAAATAGAAAATCATAGATAGCTTAAACACGTGGGACATGGACTAATGACATGAGAAAGATAAGGCAAAGAAAAATAAAAAGCAACGCCAATCATGAACCTATATAAGCTATAATATATCTTCTATGATTTATAGTGACCGACCAGATGCTTGGTTGAATTGAAAACATACCTTCTTTTCTTTCCCCGTGGACGCTTTAGCCGCATGGTGTATGTGATTATTTACATGTAGGAGACTCAGGAGGCAAACGCTTTTAATTTTGGACACATCAACTTCGACTTGCTCCCAAGGCTGGAAACTTCAAAGTATAAGCTTGGAGAGCAGAAAGATCAAGTTCGGGTAAACTCCAAAAGTTGGATATAATTCAATTGAGGAAATGTCAATTCATCCTCAATACTTTCTCCTCCTCCTTCTGCCTCTCCAACAATTTTTCTCCATCGCACTACAACTCGGAAACTTTCTATTGTCTCAGGCAGATAAGAAGTTTTGGCTATGTGCGGTGGGGAAAACCAGTATCTCAATTTGTCACACCCCCATACTTGCAGTAATCTCAGGTTTCCAAAGCCTGAGCTAACTCGTAAACCCTTTTCCCATATGTGGCTCAGCATTGGTAAATACACAACTTCAATTCCCTCAGCTTATCAAATGCTTGAGTAGAAGGGGTTTCCTGAACCAAAAATATCACTTCCAATAAATCGCACCGAATGTACTTCGAGATGTTCTAGATTGTCGCTAGCACTTGAAGTCTGAAGATTTGTCGGCGTAACCTGCCAAAAGGGTAGAAAAGTAATTGTATAATTTGTTAGCGTTTCAATCATATACATACGGGATGTTATCACATTCTAGAAATCAAGAAGGTTGTTTAAAATGAAAAATGAAGTATTCATATAAAAAGAAGAAGATCATTTCACAAGTTACCAGTATTCATATAATGCCTTTGTTGTACTAGTGTAGTTGAGTTTCTGTCAAAAAGATGTCCTGAGACACTTTAAACAGAAACTTGTTCTATCCTTGGTTGTATTATATGCTACCTTATTTGTACGGCTTAGATTAAGCCACATAGTCATTCTCATATGTGTGGCTTACCCGATTCTTGGCTGAGTGATATAATTAGCCTTGACTTCTAATATTTATCATTCCAAGACAATATACAAAATGTGTGCTCAAGAAGCTAGAGAGAACAGGTTTTCTCCCATATCACATTTCTGGATTTTCTAACTTGAGACGTATTTTACAGAAATTCCTTCCTTGTTTATTTGCTCTTTTTTCTCTTGTGCGTGTGTGTGTGTTAGTTGAACCACAGCACCAAGATATCTCAAATTCCAATATAAAGTTTGGCTTTCCAAAAATTCACTTATTGTGAGGCTTCAAATTAATAAAACATAAATAAATATCTATCTATTTCAGACTTTATCTTCAATGACATCTGTACCTAAGACCAATTTTTACAAAATAGAGGTATCCCTCTCCGTAAGTTATATATGTGTATACTAATATTGAGATGCGTAGTTTAGAATAATGGCGTACCTCTCTATTTACAACCTGAGGCAATATTTGAGTAAAGTTGCGAGTAGATGGACGACTTTGAAAGCATACTAGTGGCGAACATCCAGATCCAGTTGATGATGATGCACCACCTGATTCTTCTCTACCTCTTACATGATCATCACTCAAATTCTCTGCAATTGCAGGCAGCTTTTTGCTTAGTGGTGCAAAACCCAATGTCTTTAATTTGCGACAACTTACACCTCATATTTCTCGTGAGGAGGGACCATGCAAAGGAATAGGCATCAGGGCAAAATCTCTCGAGGCTTGGCAAATCGCTAAGGTGGAAGCTATTGATCAGTAGTTTGGGAAACAAAGTCATCGCGCCACTGCCACCTATCTCTTTCCCTTCTTCATGGATATTGTCCTCTGTGGAAGCAGCTGCCTGTACTATAGTTTCCATATTCTCACATGCATATATATGGACATGTTGGAGATTCACAAGGAGCCTGTAAATTTCATAGGGGCATAGATATTTCAGATTGTCACATTCTCAATATCTAAAGATCTTACATTTTGAAAACCTTGGAATCCAGGTTGAACGTTCTTCCACAAATGTTCAACTCCACATAAATGAATGTTTGTAATTGAGAAAATGCTGAATCATGCCCTTCTAAATCAAATACCACATTGACTACTAGTTCTTCTGACCCGTTCTCGCTTGTCAAAGAGTCCTTTGATTCATGTTTTTCAATACTGCTGCTGTCAAATACCACAAGTTCCTCTAGATTTGTTAACCATGAAATGCAATTTGAAGGAAATAGTGCAGTACAACTTGCTCCCACTTGTGCCACTTTTGATCTAGATGAGGTTGACCCAGCAACTTGATTGTCATTTCTAGTCTCTTTCACCTTGTTCACACTTTCTTCGTTGGGCTTTAGAATCTGTACATTAATTAATTCTACATAAATAATGAACTTACACATGAGCCAAAAAGAAAGAAATACATAAGTAATGAACTTCCACAATTTGTCTTATTTCCAAATTGCCTTAATTATATTCCCACATCCTCTGTCATAAATTTTGAGAAATAATAATAATCCCCTTTTCCTACCCTCAATTACTATTTACCAATAAACATTTTTAACTCTAAGGACATCTCAACCTTAATTTTCCAATGAAAATCATAGGTGTGAAGATTTAGAAATATAATCCCCTTCTATTAAGGGACATTCTAAACACACTACAAATTGGTTTTCAATTATCCAAACTGCCTATTTCTCAAGTCTATATTCATAGATTATACTTACAAAAAATTAGACAATTCGGAAACCATTTCGATATCTAATTATGTTCTACAAAATTGATGAATACGATGCTTCAAGAAAGTACTAAAATCACAATAATTTAATTGAGCGGTCAAATGATATATGATTCAAGTGATTTTTTCAGAGATAATTTTTTATTAAATATCTATAAAATAGTTGCAAAAAATTGAAATCCATCAAAAATCTCCAACATACCAAAAATGATTAAGTTCTACCCAAATCAACTTCTAGAACTGGAACGACAGTATTAAACACAACAAAAGTAGCATATTCAAAAGAGTAACAAGTATATACCATTCAAGCATCAAAAGTGCATACATACATACCTCATAGGTGGAGTCCCGTTGGTTTCCCGTGTAGAAACCACGGAGCTTTGGTAGAAAATGAAGCTCAAAAACGTTAATCTTGGGAAACTTATCCTGTGAGATGCATTATCATCTTCCATTCTCTCCTTTGATATGATATCTTCCACTTTAGCACAATTTTCAACATTTAAGCTTTGGAGTTGTACCAAGTTTTGTGCTACGGATAGTGAAAATACATATTTTAACTCATCACAATTGTTAATTGCTATGGATCTTAGGTTCATAAAGGAGCGCTTGTCTAGCAGTTTGCCACAACACACAAATTTTAATTTGTGAACATTCTTGAAGGTAGCTGACTTTAAGATGGGGAAGGCAGGTTGACCACGAGGAGTCCAATTCATTCCATTCATAAGATACTCTATGTTGTCGTCACACATGATTGATAAAACTTTCAAGTGTTGAAAGCCTCCTTGACCATCTAACTCCTCGATGACATACTTTAAATTGTATGTGTAAAATAGGACTAAGTCTTCAGATTGCTTCAAGAAGTATCTAACTGCTCCAATCTCCAAATATTCCTTTACATCACCACGAAGCATCAAACTATTTTCGAACAGATACGCAGGCATTCGATTCTTGAAACTCTCTTTTTTGTAAGACCAACTAATATTGATAGATACATGAAATCTTATAGGCTGGCTTTTTAAAAGAAACTCATCATTCCGCAACATCTGAACATCATGGGATTTTTATGGCTAAGACATTTAAATGATCAAATAGAGACATCACCTCATCAAGGCTTGCCATACTCGTTTCATCCTTGCTTCCTGTTGCTGGCCCCCAATTGAGAAAGCTTTCTGCCATGTACAACTCTTCTAATCTCCTCAAGTTGGATAAGACACCGTGAGGAATTTCTTCAAGTCCATCACAATCTGTTGCATCCAGCATCCTTAACTTATGAAGATGTCCTATTTCTCTAGGCAACTTATTGATTTGAGAGCGAGCAAAGCTGAGGATCTCCAAATTCTCCAATCCTCCAATAACATGGGATATGTCTCCCAAATTGCAATCCTCTAGACACAAGGTATGAAGGTACTTGGGTTCTCCAAGCAGTAGAGATTTTTCCGAGGCCAAATAGCTTGACATATTCACCTCTAAGAAAGCTAAAACCTTGAGTTCTTTCATTCTTTTAAAGTGGTTGGAATATTCTGAACTACTTGAGGAATTTTTCAGTTGCAGAAGCTCAAGTTTGGGGCACTCCAAACCATCAGTAATATTTTCATCCAATTTAACATCAATTAATGAAATTGCACTGCAATGTTCTTGGTTTGTAACTTTTTGTACCCCTGGCCGTCCTCCACCTCCACCTTCAGCATCAAATGATCTTACCATAAATCTATGAGGATCTTTTGAGGCAATTGATATGGCAACATCACGAACTACGTCATGCATTTTGATACACTCTTCCTTGAGACTATCCAGCAACAAATACCTTCTTTTTAGTTGTCCAATGAAAGAATGCACTTTGTTTCTTACATCTTCGATTGTGTTGGTGTTTCTAAAAGTTGCTCGACCCGACCCATACCTCACCAAATACTCAATCGGAATATCATAATCTTCTGGAAATAAGCAACAAAGTAAAAAGCATGACTTGACTTCATCACTACTCAATTTATCATAACTCAATTTTATGCAAGAATAAACCTCGGGTTCCATTCCAGGGATGTTTTCAGGGAGGGAATTTTTCAATTCTTGCAAGGCAGTATTCCATTCATGCTTGCCATTACTTGGTAGAAGAGCTTTCCCAACAGTTATGATAGCAATGGGTAAACCTTTGCATTCATCAACAATCAATTTTGCAACATGAGACAAATCAGGATTATTGTCCAAGGATTCACCTACAGTCGCCCTGAAAAGCTCCCATGCTTCTTCTTTATTTAAGGCTTGGACTCCAAAAATGTCATCTTTACACCCCATTACTTTACAAACTTCTTCATTTCGAGATGTCAACAAAATTTTGCACCCTTCATGATCACCAAAAGGGATTCCTACATCTTGTAATTTAAGCTCTGACCATACATCATCCAATATAATCAGGATTCTTTTACTCTGCTTGATTCTCTCATGTAGTCTTTGTGCTCTTACAGATTTCGGTGCCTCATCCAATTTCATACCAAGTGGCTCTGCAATTTCAGCTTGAATTGTCCTAATGCTTACAGTTGCGGAGACAGTTGACATCACAACGTCATCAAACAACTGACTCGTTCCTTCTAATCTCTTGATGATTTCTCTTACCATTGTGGTTTTACCCACACCTCCCATCCCACAAATCCCAATTATTCTTGTCTTTTCATTCCTCAAAGCACTAAGCACATCATTCATGACTGCTTTTCTGGATTCAAAACCCTTAAAACCTTTACTAGAGATTATTAACCCTAGCTGTTGCAGATGTGCAGGATTGGCAACATTATTACTCAGTTCTTCATCTAGTTTGAGATCAAGTACACGCTCGGCAATCTTTTTGGCTTTCCTACTCAGAGAATACCGCGATTTCAAACTTGGGCACAATCCATACAAACAACACCTTTGCCCGTTGACTTTGTTTTCAAGTTCTTTCGCTTCATGAAATATTTTGCTTACATCCTCCAGCCAGCTCTGAACTTGATCTTTGATGGTTCCACCATTCCTTTTTGCAGCATCCACAGATCTTTGCACATCATTTTTCTTGTCATCAAGCTTTTTAAGCACATCCTTTAGACTTTCTATGTTACAATTGTAGCAAATTAGATAGCTGAGTTGTCTCCCAATTAGTGCCACTGGTTCTTCTACAATTTTAGATGCAATTGAAGTACCAATCTCCTCCATTTTCTGTTGCCTTTTTATATAAAGCCGGCAGAGACTAAGGAAATTCTCAAACCAAATGATACTGTTGCAAGCGATTCCACACCTACAATTTTTATTATGAAAAATTAAGATAAACCAATCAAAACCCCACCAATCAAGTCTCATAACATTAAAAAAAATGCATTGTCATAGTTACAAGAACAAACAGTACACTCTGCACAATTTTGGGTCGAATTCCAACTCATTATTTATAGATACTAGTCATTGATTTTATTGTTATCATTTTAGCTCAATTTTAAAATGTACAATCACTATGGCTCTAAATCGAATCGATGTAGTTTGAGTTGGACTCATGTTCAGCTAGTTTTTTGATCGTTGAAGCTCAGTTGGTAAAAGAAACGAGCATAGTTGGAATAAAAGATAAGGCTTGTTAAGGTGACCCGAGATTGAGCTTTGGTGTACCCAGCTCACAAAGGTCGTTAGAAACTCACATCTTTGTATAAGATATTGTTTCGTTAAAGTTTGGTCTTAAACGCTAGGCTTTACAATTGGAAAGATGTCATGTAGTGGTTGGGGAACCGCCGGTTTGGGGTTCGAAACTCACTGAGGTACCTATCTAACAATTTTTGCTAGAGTTTCCTTGCCCGCCAAAGATTGTAGGGTTCGACGGGTGGGCCCCAGTTTGGGAGCTGAATAAGCAAAGCTGGAAGTGGAGTTCTGGGTTGTCAAAAAAAAAGACCAAGGAAATTCTCAAACGAAAAATGCAAGCGATTCAACACTTACAATTTTAATTATGAAAAAGTCAGGTAAAACCAATCAAAAATCCAACCAAACAAATCTCATAGCAATTCTAACTCATAATCTATAAACACTCTTCTTCCTTCCCCACCAAAAACTTCTCAAGACACCCAACTATCACAGCCACAGCCACACCCACCGCCGGTATCTCTCTCTCTTATTTCTGTTTCTCAATTCCTACTTTGACAAACACGTTTGCCAAACACCCACTGCCCACTCCTTGATTTGCTCAAGGTAATGGGATTCTTAGATCTCTCAATCATCCCATCATCAATGGATTCATATGATAATGATATGCAACTGACGCGATGCTCTGTTTCAATTTAATTTGAAATCCTCCAATCTAATTTCAGGTTGTTTCATGGATGGTGATTTGGTTTCATTAGATTTGAAACTAAGTGTTTCTAGATATGCAACTAAACTTTAGTTTCTACGTCAATCACAGCAAGTTTGAAACGATGATTATGAGCGACGAGAGTGAGGTGGCTTTCTGGGATTTGGTTTCATTAGGATTTTTATTTTTATTTTTGTTTGATTTTTAGTCTTTATTTTGACCTTTGAATTATAGTTAACACCATTAGATTTGGAGAGAGATTTGGAGAGAGAGAGAGAGAGACTAACAAAAGGGGTGTGATTGTAGTAAATGAAATATGTGGGATCTGACTCTAATTATACCAAACTTCCGGGAGTCTAAGTGAAATCCTCCCCTTGTTAAAATGACCCAAGCTTGAGATTTGGTGTGCCCAGCTGACAAATCTCGTTAGCAGCTCACATCTTTTTATGAAATAGCGTTTGCTTCATTCAAGTTTGGTCATAAACGTTAGGCTTTACGATCTTATAATTAAATGCAAAGATGTCGCAATTATTATATAGGTGTACTTAAAAATGTTCATTGATTTTTTTTTTTTCCTCATAGGGACGATCAATCTTTTAGGTTCATACTCTACTAGCCCCTTGTCGCATGCTCACGCATGTGCCAATTGGTTTTTTTTTTTTTTAGAATTAAGAAAAGATAACATGGAGTAGTTATATTCCATAAAAGTAGGACCTATTATCTGATTTTGTTTTATTTTATTTTTTAATATGAAAAAATGTGAATTTACCATATTATCCTCATTTAAATAATAATTTCAATTCTTAATATTTGAATTAACCAATGGCATTTTCTAGTATTTGAATGTTTCACCATTCTTTGACTTTTGCTTTATATATAGAGATGTTTAGTGATATACCCATTCTTAACATTAATATTATAGATAAACCCTTCATCATTGAATTTCTATAAACAAACCCAAAAAAAACCCCAAAAATGACAGCTGGCCTTATTGAATTTAATATTGATTATTAAATTACTTTAATGTCCTATTGAGTGTTTTGGGTATTTTTATGAGATTTTGAGGTTGGGCTTGTTTTAAGAAATTTATGGTAGTTTTGTAATTTATAAGAAGTTAAGGCCTCTTTGTTATGTTGTAAATGGGTTTTGGGTGTGTTTATAAAGTTCATTTCATATGGGGTATTTTTATAATTTGAGCTCCCATATTGGGTATATTAGTGAATCTCCCTTATATATATAGGTTATCATTCTTATTTGCATTTGGTTTATTTTTTAATATTTCATAAACTCAGGCTGAACTTGAGTTTAAGAGCATCCACAATCATGCTCGATATTCTTTTAATTAAAATTTAGCTAAAAATGCTAGAAAATTATTTTAGGAGTTCTCTACCAAATTTCAACTCCAACCATACTCCCAAATTTAAAGAATCAGAAATATTATTGATATTTTTTAATTCAATTTTTGAATAAAATGCAGACACAAAAGCAACAACAAAAAATAGTTGACATTAAATAAATGGTTAAAATACTATTAAAATAAAGGAGCATTAAATTATAGGGAGTCACTAGGAGTCATCTCTCTCTCTCTCACTCACTCACTCACTCACTTAAATTTAAGATTTCCTAGAGGTCTCCCTATTTTTCAATTCTTCTGTAAAACTTGTCTAAAGAAGTGTTTTAGAAAGTCTATTGTAGATACTCTAGCCTCCCTTAAAAAATGAGTTCAATTGAGCTAACCATAAACACTCGATCAATAGATGCTTAGTCAAGCCTAACTCATAGGGCCACCTATAATATTGTTCCACTATATATTGTGTGCGAAGTATCCCATAAAACCTAATCATTTTATGTAATATTTATGGATATTACCTATATTTACTTAGAACATCCACAATGAGCTCCCTAAATCATCTTCTCAGGCAAATTTTTGTGGGATGAATTGGAAAAATACAACTCAACCAAGCTACCTATCCACCTACTAAAATAGGAAGACCTCTAGGAGCTCCTAAATATGAATTTAGAAAAAAGACTCTTAGTGACTCCCTATAATTTAATACCGCTTTGTGTTATGCATATTTTAAACTTTTAATTAATACTAACTATTTTTATATTTTCTTTTATAGAGATTGACCAATTATATTGAATCAAAAATATTTATAGTATTTATGACTCTCTAAACTAAAGAGTATGATTGGAGTTCAAATTTTATAGAGAGCTCCTAAAATAGCTTTTTGTGTTTTTAGCTATATGTTAACTAAAGATGCTCTCATAAATTAAATTAAATTAATGACAGATCATTATTTGATAGAAATTAAATTAAATTAATGACGAGACACTAAGAAAAGTATGCAAGTACTTGATAAATGATGAATTTACTAAATGTGATCAATCAATAGTTATTTTGTGGAAGTTGTACTTATATGTCAAACAAGAATATTAAGTCGCAATAATGAAGACTGGTACTTTAATCTTAGACACCCTAGTTGTCTTATAAGTAGGTTGTGTATTATTGGGTTTGCGATTAATTCATACAAGTATGTGTGTGTACAATAAGGCCCAGGCAAAGCAACCTAAAGGCCCCAAGGGTCAGCTCACTTGATTGTTTTTAAAGAAGAATTTAAAAATAAGAAAAACTATTTTAAAAACAAACAAATATATATATATATAATAAATAAAAACAAATAAAAAAATAAAACATTGTTTTTTCATCTCTATCTTCTAAAGGGACATCGTCCACCTCAAGGGGCACCCCCAACCCATGCTAGGCGACGAGGGCAAACAACCCTCCCCCAATCTAAGATCCAAACGCGCACCCACCCTCTATCTCACCATATGTCACCCCATATCCCATTTCACCTAGGGCTGCAATTTAAAATCGATAGACTGCCAAATTGACCAAACCGAATAGGTTGGTTTGGATTTTTTCACTTAATTTTTGGTTTTGGTCAACAAATCGAACGGAACTGGTTGTGAAGAATGTTTCAAAAAGTATGTGCCAAGGGGGACTCAAACCTTTAACCTGCTTGTTGGAAAGAAGCACTTCTAACACTTGTTTGGGACTGCTTCTCTAGAAAGCAATTATGCTCACAAGGGCTCCTGGCAAAAGCGTTTTTAAAGATGTTAAATTTTCATAAGAAATCCAATTGCTTTCTAGAAAAGCACTTGTGAGTGCTTCATGAAGAAGCACATAGTAAGTTCTTCTCCAGAAAGCGTTTTCACGACCTAGAAGCACTTATAACATTTTATGTCAAACACTATCAAAAGTGCTTTTGTTTGTCAAAAAGCACTTTTAACACTCCCAAATAGGGCCACCACTTTTTTGTGAACCCCTAAAACAAAAGTTTAGCATGCACAGTTGTTTTAAAAAAAAAAATCAAATGTTCTTTATAGTAGATCAGCTTCATAGTGGTTTCAAAGAATTTAGGAGCAGTTTCTGTATAGTTTATGCTAGCTTTTGTCATCAATAGTTTTATATATAAATTTATATTTACTCTAACGCTTTGTTGTCAAAGAAAGTGATTTTTATCAAAGTAATCAATGTCGAATGAGCACTATTTGATTTCTCCCTCATAGGAAAAAAAACAAAATACAAATATAAAAAGTCAACTGGCCAACGCATAAGTCCATTCCAAGAGGTAGTTGGTAATTGAAATTTAAAATGTCTGAGAAAAACAAACCTGGAGTTAGTGGCAAATTAGCACTATCCACAATCCGAATGCTCAGCATGCTAGTAACGCCATACAACAACTGCTTACAAAGATTGGAAAAATAAAGCCAGAAATAAAGATCGATGTATATATATTTGTGTTGTAAGATGAGAGAAATAGAACAAGCAAAAGAAGAAAAGCAATGGAACCGAAGAAACTAAACAAACAGACCCTTAATCTCCAAAATAAAGAAAAAATATTACAAAAGTTACGAACATGAGTTTTCCTACTAAAGTGTAAAGGAACCACTCGTGTTCTGCTCACCCAACAAAAATAAATAAATAGTAAAGAAAATAAAGAAAAACTAAAGTGTTCATTAGGCAACCACAAACATTGCAGTTTTCGCACACAACAATATATACTATATCATACATACACAAAAATACAAGTCCGGGAGTGGATCCTCCTATTTGGAATCCAAAGCTGATGTCTCACTTGCATTCTGCACCTTTGAACTCAAATTATTCTTGCTTGGGCAACTGATTCCTAGTCGAACATTTCACAAATGTTACTAAAAATCCTTATTTGCAATTTAGTCATTATAACTAGGGGTGGCAATTTCAAGCACGACCCAAACTCGCTCGAGAATTTAGCGAGTTCAACCCGCACGATTAAAATTTGGGTCATTTTCGAGTCAATCCGCTATGACCCGTTTAATAAACAACTGAGTTTTGGGTCAACCCATCAACCCGATAAAATACCTATATACCCGTTTAACAAAACAGGTCATGACGGATCAACCCGCCAACTCGATAAAATACATATGTAACTGCCAACCCTCTAAAAAACCCGTGTAACCCGCCAACTCACTAACCCATTTATTTGTTTATTCTTCATTTTCTATTTTTTTTATATTAAGTTTTTAAGTTGATACCACTTAGTGAGTCAATACAACACGACCCGAAACCTGCACGAGAACTTAACAGGTCAACCCGTGCATGACACATTTATTAAACAGTCGGGTTTGGGTTAAGCATTCCTAACACGTATATAATCTTGACACGACACAACCCATTGCCAGCCCTAATTATAACTAGCTACACTTGTCAATAATTTCACTTTTGTCCTTATACTTTCCTTTATTTTCACTGTGGCCCCTATACTTTTTCCAATACATTTCGGTCTTCAGACTTATCCATAATTTACTTTGGTCCTTACATTTTCCTTTATTTGCACTTTGGCACTTATACTTATTTAAATTATCTTTTGGTCCTTCCACTTTCAAAACCGGCTTGGGCCAACAACTCAGACACAAATTTCCAGAAATCGAAGCATCTTAAAACTTTACCTTAATATTGGTCCGAAATCCTGGGTGAAGCTGCCAAAGAGAAATAACCAACTCAAACAACACTTGAAAACTAACAAAAGCTTGTTTCAGGTGTACCACTGCCGAAAAGACTTCTGAACAACCTTCATGAAGGAAGTATTGTCATCTGAGCAAGGCAAAAGTGACATACAAGAGTGAATAAGGTACTGTACAGTAATAACAGCAGAATCCGAGGAAGTGACGAACATGCTTACCACAGACATAGCTAGAGTAGTTGGATTGCTCTGATTTTTGGATATGTCATAGTTGTCAACTGAGGAACAACCTTAGAGAAGGACATTTTGTCAAACGAGCACCGGAGATTAAAGAAAACTGATGAAAACTGAGCTGCAAAAAACTCACCAGGCATGGATGAACACAGAAATGTCATAGCCGGTTCGAGGTAGCTAGACCCGTCTGATGATGCTCATGTTTGGGTATGATATAGTATTCGAACAGACGAACAACTTTGATGAAGAAAGTTTGCTGATTTGAGCTTTCGAAATCAGACTTCTAGAGTGATGAATAATACCCACGAGTTTGGGTTTTCTGAAGAAGAAGATGAACGTTGACCCAAAAAGGAGGAAAATGAAAGAGAAAAGGAACAAAAGAAGAGTAAAACAAAGAAAGTGTCGGCAGCCTTACCCAAAATTTTAAAAAAAGTGTGGCCAGCCCGCGTGTGAACAGTACCCACTAGTTGAATGATGGTTACAACAGAGAAAGTCACATGTATTTTTCGCCACTTTTCCCCAAGATGGAGATAAAGATGAAGTTATGAGTGAACAAAACTTTTCACCTCTGCATTTTCCTCGTTCTCCAAGCTCTAAAGATGAAGTTATGGTTACAACAGAGATAAAGATGAAGTCACGTTGAAATCTTAGAAGGGCTCAACAAGGAACGGTATTGCATCATCTTTGCTAATATTAGCTTCAATGAAGTTATTGACGAAAGCAGAGCATGCTTGATGAAACGAGCTACCTTGTGAAAGAACAAAATGAATAATAGAATAAAAGGAGAAAAGAGAAACTCATCCTTCGAAACTGTAAATTCAATCAGATTTATTTTTAATGTTACCAAAAAAACAATAAAGAACTTTTTCTTTTCAAGAAGTATTATTTTAAACAAAGTATTCTTACTTGTACCGTTTTAAAAACATATTTTTACTTGTATAGGTTTAAAACCATTGGTAAAAATGCACTATCGAAAGAAAAAACAAAACTCCTAATACGAGGCTTATGCTGTATTACCAAGTCAAGGAGCTCAATAAAGAAACTGGGCCTGAAATCCTCTGGACAGGATGGGCCACTGCTTCTGTTGCAATTATGGCAATGGTGACTCTTTCTCAACTGATTTTCAAGACCTAATCCCTACTAGATGTTGACAAATGTGAGAGGTGTGGAAAAAAAGAGGCAGATTGTGCAAAACAAGACAATAAAGTGAAAGGGTTAAAAAGGGCGAGTTATTGGCGTGACAGAGAAGAGGTTGCAATTTTTCTTATTTATTTTTATTTTTTTATGGAGTAATGGGTAGATAATGTAATTAATTGCAAATAGATAATATCGCTCAAATTAATATAGTGGTAAATATAGTATTTTTCCAACAATGATCAAGTTAATCTAGTAAATATTGGAGTGATTTTTGTTTAATTATATTTGAATTAAACAATAAGAGGATTAAAATGACAAAAATATAATTAAGCAAGTAAAATAAGAATAAGTAAATAATGTAAAAGATGAAAACAAAGATGATACGCACTAGAACACCGATTTCACCTAGCTTAATCCTATCCAAATCCTTCTAACTTGTCAATCTTAATTACCTAACATGTTGATAATCGTAGCCCTAGTAAAAGAAATTGGTTCATGAAAAACTTATTGAGAAACATGATGGTTGATGAAGACATGGAAGGTACTGAATTCTCCAAAACGTACAAGAAATTTGATTTTGCGCTTGATTAAGTAACTTGCTGAGTTGGATCATAGTTATCGGGTTTTATTTAGAAAAAAACAAAATTTTATTCAAACAACAATAAAGAGATGAGTTGTAGGTGAGGAAAATTGACTTTCAAAGGGTTAAGCTAAAGAGATGGGTTATAGTTGAAAATACAAGGTGTCAAACATTATTGCTGTGAAAATGGAGATATGATTACTACTACGGTTTGATGTTTAAGTGCATAGACTCAATTAAAACCTAATGGAACTAATTAGTTCTAAATCTAATTGTTTCGTTCTTTTGTTGGAATCACCTTCTTTGTCAATAAATAAAATTTAAAAACAAAAAACTAATTATACAAAAAAAAAAAAAAAAAAAAAAAAAAAAGAGGGAAAAGTTGCATCTGCCCCATACCACATAAGCACAAAAACCACTAGAATATGTTATTTTTCCAATGTGGGATCTTGAGTCCTAACATTCCACAACGCTTTCGTACTCAACTATCAGTATTCAATGACTCGATAGCATGCCCATACATAACACTGATCATCTTAGTTTAGCCTATAGGCCATCTCTATCGTGGAATTGGGCCCAGTTGTGTGGTGAAACGAGGCTCTGATACCAAATGTTAAGAACTCTTAGATAGAACTTATCCCTAAAAAACGGCTTGTAAGGGAAGAGTGCCCATGAGCTCTTAAACCACTCTAAGATATGCTTATTTTTCCAATATGGGATCTTGAGTCCTAATACTAACCTTGACGCTTTTACACCAGAGTTTCTTTGGTCCTATGTGCGTATCAATGGAAGTACACCTTGTGCACTTATTGTTGCCGGTGGACTCCTCCGTATGACATTTGTGACTGATGTTTGTGCGTATAAATACAATCTATTGTCTTTCTCTAAGGGCCAGTTTGGCATTGTTGTACTGTGAAAATAATTGCTGTCAGATTTGTTATGAGAGAAAGCAGTCTGGCGTTTGGTAAAATTTTTGTTAAAAGTGTTGTTGGTATTGATTTTACGCATAATCAGAAAATGATTGCCGCATAATCATTAAACCCAACGCCTCTTCAAAACTGATCTTTGCATAATTAGAAAATGAAAGCACATCATTAGTTGCTTTCCCTTATAGCTTTCTCTCACAACAATTTTAAACAATAAGTGAATTTCTCACTGTTTACCAAACGGGTTTGGCTTCTCGAAATTTTAAAAAAATCACTTATCATCCCAAATAAGCAATGCCAAACTGGCACCAAATAAATAATTATAAATTATAAATAAAAAAAACAACAAAAAAGACAATGTTAACGTGACCCGCAGTGATTTTATAAAAGCGAAATGATAACATTATCCACTCCGAGCGGAAAAGCTAAGCTGCTACCATATCATGGCAAGGCTTCTCATCTCCAACACAGCCTCTCTCACTCTCTCTCCACCAGCCCCGTCCTCACGTGCTCTACTCAACCCCCCGCACGTGCCCATATCGCCGGCGACTCGATTTTCCTGCCGGCAAGCCAGAGGCCTAACGGTGGTGACACGTGCCGGTCCCACCACGAACCAGTACGTGTTCGCATTCGTTATGCCACTCTCTCTGATCGCTGTCACTGTCTTCACCTCCATGAGAATCGCCGATAAGCTCGACGAAGATTTTCTTGAAGAGGTTTGTGAAATTTCTGCAACTGGGTTTTTGTCTTTATTTGCATGCGGCTTAATGTTTATGAGATGTTAAAGTTCATGTGGGTTTTGGGTTTTGTTGAAGATTGCAAGTGTTTTTATTTTTATTTTCGTTTTTGTGGTGATTGGAATGAACAAGATTGCCAATGAATTCTTTAATATAGAATATAAAGTGGCAATTGAACTGCCAGGCAAGCCTTCAATGTTTTCCCATCAGTTTTATATTAGTTGAAGTTCAAATGGATTTAATGTATGGTGTCACTTTGCTCTGTCAAGATGTTTTTTTCCCTCTTATGTACTCTGTTTTGTAACAGCGTACAATATGTAGTGTATAAATGTTCTATAGTAGTTTTATCGTTATGTTTAAATTTTGATGTCGTAATCACCCCGAAATGGAACAATAGCGAAAATTAGGAGCTTTTATCCACATGTTTCTGTGAAATATAAAATGTATGTTCACATTCTCATATAATCTCAATTTTGTTTTCAATCATGATTTCGGTTATATCTGGCATGTTCTTAGAGACATGTTATGCAACTCCAATGGCATGTTCTTAGAGATGTGCCTTAAAAAGAATACTCGGTTTGAAATTAAGATATTTATCATTTTTCTGTGCTTTATCCCTAATATAGTATTAGGGACAATATATCTTCTGCTGCTGTTTTGACAGAAGCCTTTATCTTTGTTTTCTTATATTTCTTTGAAGCCATCCCATGATGGCATGATTCAAATATTTGAGTATTGATTCCATATTGTAATGGGAACAATCATATGTTTTCCTCTTTTCGTTAATGTAAAAAACTATCTTCGGAACCCCTAGGTGAACAGGAGGGACGGGAAAGTGAGAGTTTTGCAAGTACTGCTAAAAATAGATCATAATCTGTTTGTTTGCGATGTTCTTTTTCTTTTTCTCCAATTAATTTATTATGTTTATGAACCACCAGATTCGGGAAACTTAATCAACAAAGCATTGTCCCAGATACTTGTAGTCTGCCAAGCAAATTATTTATTACATTTGCGATTATAGTAACTGTTAATTCATGGGATAGCATGTCTGTTCTTCACAGCTTGACTTTTGTTGGTCTCACATTATAATTAGCCTTTGAAGAAAATTATGCCACAAGAAATATGGAAAACCTGCTGCAATTGTCATTATCCTGACTGCTTATATTTTCGTATGCACGCATGTGTTTCTTTTTTCTCTCTATATTTTTGTAAGTAGGTCGTAATGTTTGTATTGTTGATGTAGATTGCAATTAACCAAGCGATCAGGGAAACTGATGAGGATGATGAAGTTGACATGCCTATAGATGAAAAACCTGCCCTTCCACGAACACGTAACCGACCCAAAAGGGAAGTCTAGACTTTCTTTTTGCTGCTTGGTAAGGTTTAGTTTTATATTTCAAATCAGCGTGCTGTCGTGAATGGTGATTCTTTGAATGTAAGGGAAAGAAGGGGATGCAGGGAAACTTATAGGCTTTGACAATTTTGTATGTCAAATGAGTATTGACATTAGAATGTTGTGCCGATAGCCTTCGAGCCTAATGGCACCTTCTCTTCCTTCCTTGAGAATTAGAGTGCATGCATTGTGTTTCTTTTGTTTGTAAAAAGAAATATGGTATGAATATATAGAGTTTGTATAATAGGCAGAGGAGGTTTTGCTGTTAGTGTTTCCAATAAGCATGTTCTTGGTTGCTAGCAGAAGTGACAATCCCACCTGAAGGATTTTACAGACAGTATTCATATAGATCAATAGAATGATTTCTTTAAATTTCGAATCGTTGTAATTGAAATTATTGTCAATTCTGAAAAAATTTTTTTATAATTTATTTCAAGATACAGAATACAAAGTAGAAAAGGTTCATGAAATAAATCTGCTATGCCAAAACCCAAAAGTCGCCTTGAATATTGCGGATTACAAGAAATTGGCATTGCGGACTCAATTTCTCTCACAAATTATGAACATTTCAGATCTGTCATCTTTGACCTATTGCAAAAAAACTTAGGAAACATCAACTCCTGCATGTTCAGCCCATCACTGTCATTGAAATGGGAACTTGGAGTTTGCCTTGAGAAAATATCTCCCCCTGCTATCAATGGAATATCAACCCTCATAGACTTTATTACAAGAACAACAATAATTTGATTGATAGACTTGGTTACTGGAAGACAGATAACCATGTAAACGGCTTAGACCTGTACACAGAATGGAAGTTCTGAACTATTCTCCACATATATCAAGAATCAGCCTGCCCCATCCACATCCATACGCGGGCCTCTCTGCTGCCCTGAAACTTTTTCAACCCATCATCTCCGCCGTTTGAGACTTCCGTTATTGGTAACTTGAAGATAACTTTAACACCTCTTTGCACTTAATATCTGATAAACAAAATATTCTTGATTCTTTTCCAAAATATGCCGAGCTAGAGCACAATCTAGCAAGAAAAAAAAACAAGAATCAGCTTGCTAAAGCACATTAATTGACAATAAAGGATCTCACTAGGTTTAACACAAGGCTTTAGAGAACTAAACTGACCTGTTGGAGAAGTTATGAGACACTGAAAAAACAAACACCACTCATGATGCCCTGCTGATATGAAGCCTCATAACACTACCCTGGAAAGGTGCACCATCTGCCACTCTGAAGACTACAACCACAAATACATACAGATCTTAATTGCAGTGTTCACCCGATACAACTTCATGCATTAAAAGCAAAATGCAACAGAAGGTACGTACTCTCCAATGGGTTATGGACTATCTTGTACATATTAAACATGTTAAAAGCCAAGTAACCAGTCAATTCAGTACCTGGCTTCATAATTCATCCCGACAGCAGTTTACAACCCTTTGCTTTCAACTTGGATTCTAAACCAAAAAACTTCAATCCTGACACCACCAGATCTGCCGTCTTCTTCTTCATGTGTTCAATTAATACTTCATCATACACAATCATGTTGGCTTCTGTTAAAAGTTTGCGCTCTTTCAAATTAGAAAATATCTTCCTTGCCTCCTCTATTGTTCCATGCTTACACATGCCAGAGATTATAGCAGAGTATATAACATCATCCGGAGGACAACCCTGCTGCATCATCTCATTTAGTACTTCAATCACCTTCTCAGCATTATTAGATTTACATCATGGAGAATGGTAAGAGAATACTTGAATTCCATGGGCCCACTTGTCACACTGGCTAAGCAGTCACGAACAAGCAGCATAACTGTATCAATCTCGCCAACTTTGCAAAGAGCTCTTGCAAGAGAACAATAAGCAGAGATAGAAGGAACACAAGACATCTCAATTATCTTATTATGAGAGGCACAAGCCTCATGGATGTCCTCATCTTCAACAAAACACATAATTGCAATGCTATAGTAGACGCATCGGGCTGCAAATCCACATCCTTCATTCCATTAAAGAGAGACAATGCTTTCTTCACTTTCCCAGATTTGTGGAGGGATCCCATAAGGATATTGTAGATTCCAACACTATAATAACCTTTAACTTTCAACTCCCCAAACACTTCCAAAGCTAACGGGACTCCATCCTCCTTTCCTACCATAAAGGAAAAGAATTTTGAAAGATCATCAATAACAGGAAAATCAAATTTCTCCATCTCTGCAAGCATATCGCAAAAGTTATCCATTCTTCTCATCTCAGCATAAGACACCAAAATGGGATTCACCGTAGCAAAATCTGGCTGAAGACCCTCTTGAACTGTAACTCGGAAAATCTTATAAGCTTTGTCAACCCGCTTCGCATTACATAAACCCTCAATAAGAGAATTATATATCCCCAAATCTGCCCTATACCCTGAATCCATCAAATCCTTCAACAAATCACATGCCGCTCCAACCTTCCTGTCTGCCACGAACCCCCCAATCAACACCCCGTAAATGGCTCTATCAATCAGGAAACCCTTAACCTTCATCTCCCTAAACAACTCGTATCCCTTCTCCACCCTCCCTCCCTTACACAGACCCGTAACCAGAGTTGCATATGCCATAACGTCTGCCCCTACCCTATCTCTCTTCATTTCCTCCCAAACCCTCAAACAGCCGTCCAAGTTCCCCTCTGAAATCAAAACCTTAACCATTGCCGTGTATGCAAACACGTCAGGTTTACACAAATTCACCCTCATTCTCTCCAAAAGCTGCAACATTTCATCCATTCTTCCCATTTTACAAAGACCCTTTATCAAGATCATAAAAGTAACACTCTCCTCGACCAACCCATCACCCCTAAAGTCTTCGTAAACCGATAATGCCAAATCCAAATAACCCGACTTCACTAACGCATCCATGATCCTATTGTACAAGAAAACCCTGGGTTTAACTCCCAAATTTCTTCATTTTTTCATACACGTAATAAACCCTAAGACCTCTATTGGCATCGGAGTGCATTCTGATGAGAATCTCAAACTGTTTCTCGCTGGGGGGTTTGCCCTGCGAGTCCATCAACTCTGGGACTTGGTCCGCGGACCGGAACCGGTTGGACCTGTTCAGACAATAGGCCAAGGCATTGTAGGAAGCATAAGTGTGCTTGAAACCCTTTTGCTTACCTGCCCAGTGGAAGAACTTGGAAGCGGAGACGGGGTCGTTTTGGACCTTGAGCACCTCGGCAACGAGGTCGGGCGTAACCCGGCGGAGCTTTCGGAGCTCCGAGACGACTGGTGGGCCCCAGTGGTTCTGGTTCTTGCGGAACGCGTCGAGAATGAAGCGAGCGATAGGGGAGAGAAATGAGAGGAGTGTCGTGTCGGCAGGGTTGGATGATGAAGTGGACGGCGAGGATTGGGGGAGGTGTGGATCCCATTTGGAGAGTTCGAAGGACTGAGGTTGGGGGGCGGCGGTGGGGTATCTGCGGTTTGGGAGGGAGACGCGGTTGGAGAAGAGGCCGCCGCGGACTGTAGGGCGGTTCTGTGAGGGCTTGCGGTGGCCGTGGAAGAAGGTGAAGTTTTGGGGTTTAGGGGGTGGGGACTGAGGTGGCATTTTACAACTTGTGTCTGCCCCTATTACTCTCTTTCAGTCTTTCTAAAATTCTTTCCACTTGACAAAATGGAGTTCAAAAATTCAATGCAGGACCGGTTATGTTTAATTTTACTTCTTTGTTTAAATCCAAATCTATTAATATGAAAATCAAACTAAAACCAGACTGTGTATAAGTTTCAGTTTCGAAGCTATTTGAGGATTAAAGTAAACTAAATTGGACTGAACGAGCACAGCACGAGATGTTTTTTCTTAACGCTCCAAGACTAAATTTTCAAGCTTTCTCGTATTCTTTCTACTTGCTTCCACCTCTACCCATCACTACGACTATGTTTGGTGCTTAAAATTGGATAACTCGCTAAATTCAAGGTATGTTGAAGGAAGAAATTGAGAAAAACTTCCATATTTTGTCAAAGTTTAAGGTAGAAGATGAAATAATCATGAAGGAAACTTATCGTTTCCAAACCCACTATGTTGACGGGTATTTCCTTTTTATTTTGTGGGAATTAGAATGGATTTGATAATATTCTATACATCAACATATTTGTCAGACAACAATTCGACCTGCTCCAAAATATTGGCAATAATTGGATCTCAACATATGGGAAACAATTGTTGTCACAACAGCTCCAAAATATTTATTTGTGTGAATACTTCGCAAGAAAACCAGTGTAGAAGAAGAGAAAAAAATGAGCTAATGAAGCTACAATTGAATAACGTTCAGATACATAGGCCATTGAAGATTTTCCTTCCCTCCTATTTCAAAGGGAATGAGGTGTATTTTCCAAATGCACTAACATTTCAAGAAATAGTTTACTTTTTTCTAATAAAAATAAGATTTTGATTTGTTAATGAGATAATAATACCCAAAAAAAAATTCATGTGCTCAATCCGATCATTTTTTATGTGTATGGCTCGTAACGCATTCATTTGTTATTATTCCAAATTACCGTTGTCTACCTTATATAACCATATTACCTTATCATTGCCTTTTGTCACATGTTTTGATATTTTCTTCTCACTCACCAAGCTCATTGCATCATGTCTTACTATTGCGATTTTTTTTCCCTTCAAATGTTTTGTTAGTTTCCTTTTTTACCTCCCTGGAGTGTTTCTGCACTCAGTAGTCTCTTTTGTGCAATAATAATTAAGTGTCTCTACACTCAATAGTTTTCATTGTGCAGTAACAGTAAAACATTTTTTTTTATAATGTGCAGTTACAGCTCTTTGACATTAAAATTGACGGTTGCCCTTGGTTGTTCAAAAACATATGTTCAATGTCCTCAGTGTTGGAAAATATGAGAATAGAGGCAAAATGACGTGGGGATCAAAAGGACGCGATCCCTTCTTTTTCCTCATCCGTGATTTTCAATTGTTTAATCGTGTCTTTTACCTTACACTCATTAGCATAGTGACCATACTTTTGACATTTATAACATTTAACTTTTCTTTTGTCAGAACTTTTCTTAAAGTTATTATTCTTACTCTTTTTCGGTGCTTTTGACCAATTCTTACGCGCGGGTGAAATCTCTTTTTACTATAAAATTCATTATTTTCATTATTGTGTTGGAATTATTGTTTCTTACGTGAATAATGACGACTTTTACACTGTCGGTTATGGTAACTAGGCTTGTTTTTTCTTGAAGGAGGAGTGGCAACTAAACCGTATTGTTCGCAGAAATTTCCTAATTCATATTTGGCATACTCTTTCTCAGACGGTAATTGTTTACTAATTTTCATACCTTCTTGATTAATGGTACTAATTATGTTACCATAGGTTAAACCATCATAATCTGTATGACCGTGCTCGTTACTTTAAGACTGTACAAATTTTATGGGTAAATAAATTGGGAGGCCATTAATGAATTTTTCTTTCCAGAAGGCTTGATTACTATCTTCTCTTAGCATGACTCTTGAAATAAAAACATTTTTATACCATCTAAAATCACTTAATTGCGGGCATCTTAAAATTACCTAAGCCCCAAAAAAAAAAAAAAAAAAAAAAAAAAAAAAAAAAAAAAAAAAAAAAAAAAAAAAAAAAAAAAAAAAAAAAAAAAAAAAAAAAAAAAAAAAAAAAAAAAAAAAAAAAAAAAAAAAAAAAAAAAAAAAAAAAAAAAAAAAAAAAAAAAAAAAAAAAAAAAAAAAAAAAAAAAAAAAAAAAAAAAAAAAAAAAAAAAAAAAAAAAAAAAAAAAAAAAAAAAAAAAAAAAAAAAAAAAAAAAAAAAAAAAAAAAAAAAAAAAAAAAAAAAAAAAAAAAAAAAAAAAAAAAAAAAAAAAAAAAAAAAAAAAAAAAAAAAAAAAAAAAAAAAAAAAAAAAAAAAAAAAAAAAAAAAAAAAAAAAAAAAAAAAAAAAAAAAAAAAAAAAAAAAAATGGTTGCTTATTGTAGCAAGGATGACTGACCTGGGAAGTTTTTCGTAAAGATTCTAATTTAAAATCTATCATTGTTTTTTCTAACACTAGGTCTCGTTCTGGAGTGGAAGAAGAAGCTGCGAATGAATGTCTAGCAGGGATATGTCTCTGGGATTGACCAGGTGTGGGCAACTAGTGTAACTGGACTGTAGATTTTTGTGGTGGTTGATTACCAAAGTTAATTTAACTATGCCGTCCAAATATTGTTGAATATAATCTAAATTATTTAGACTATGTTGAATTGGGGCAGGCTGATTCTCAGTGGTGAGTGTCCAATCTATAGGAAGGGTGACATCTCACCATTTAATTGTGTGAGGGACTCGTATATTGGCCTCAGGTTTGCTACTTTGAATTAACAGAGTTTGATCTTTTGGACTTGTATTAAGAGCTTGAAAATTCATATTAGTTCCTGTGACTTTATAATAAATTCTATAAACTAGGGGCAATGGTTGAGTGCCTGGTAAAACCTCGTATCCTGAAGTTTTGATATTTAAAGTTAATGTTTTTAAAATATGGGGATCACTTAGACTTACTGTGAAATCAGGGTAACAATCAAAATATACTGGACCATTAAACAAACTTGATTCAATTATTCCTAGTGTAATATCACTAAAATTAGTGAATCTAGCATCAGATGCCAAGCCACGGGGATGGAGTTTCTAACTCGGGAGAACTGATTTATCCATCAATTAATCAAGGGCATGTTGTTGCTGATAATTTCAGATATTTATTAGTAACTAGAAAGACTTTGATAGTCCTCCTTAATGAATTGATGATTGAATTTTAAGTCAGGTCCTGTTTCTAATTTGATAGCGGGACCAATTTGGATTTGTAGTTTTTCTTTCCTTTCTACTTTTGAGATTTTACTTTCAATCAGAGTTTCGGCTGGATCTTGATTGTGGAGTCAATTACGACCTTTAGATCATCTCATTGAATTGATTGAAAATACGGGATACCTACACTACACTACATGGATTGCATCACAGCAGATTCCCTAACGCACGCAGGCCATTAAACTGTCCGTATTTTTTTGGTCGTTAGATGGATCCTTGAGATTACTTGATGGATACACAGAAGAAAATATGGTAATATATTTTAAAAATAAATTTTTTAATTTATATAGGAGTCGGAAAATGAGTAGGTTTATGTTTAGTATGAGTTACACGGATCTTTCTATTAACAACTTCGGTTAATTTATACATCCACTTGGCCCAAATTAAACTACACTTAACTTTCATGCTTGTAATTTGATTAGCTAGATACCACAGTTGAGCCAAACATCCAAATATTCAATATGGTAATGTTACATATGAAAAGGAAGATCCAAATAAATCCAGTTTTATAATACAACTAAAGATAATAACTAAATTATCTGATCAAAGAGATGCAATGGCAGGATATGAGGAACATTAACATGTATAATCAGTGATGAAAGCGACTGGTATCTTGTAGATGTGCACCACAACATATCATGTAGTCTTGTCCCTAGCTTCTTGGCTTCTGATGATATTCTTCTCAAAGATTATGCAAAATAAAGAACAAAAAATTATTATCTATCATTAAAATAGAAAATCATAGATAGCTTAAACACGTGGACATGGACTAATGACATGAGAAAGATAAGGCAAAGAAAAATAAAAAGCAACGCCAATTCATGAAAATATATTAAGCTATACATATATCTTCTATTGATTTTATAGCGACCGACCAGACTGCTTGGTTGAATTGAAAACATACCTTCTTTTCTTTCCACGTGGACGCTTCATAGCGCATGTTGTATGGATTTACATGTAGAGACTCAGGAGCAAACGCTTTTAATTTTGGACACTCATAAACTTCGACTTTCTCCAAGGCTGGAAACTTCAAAGTATAAGCTTGAGAGTAGAAAGATTCAAGTTCGAGTAAACTCCAAAGTTGGATATAATTCAATTGAGGAAATGTCAATTCATCCTCAATACTTTCTCCTCCTCCTTCTGCCTCTCCAACAATTTTCTCCATCGCACTACACTCGGAAAACTTCTATTGTCTCCAGGCAGATAAGAAGTTTGGCTATGTGCGGAGAAAACAAGTATCTCAATTTGTCACACCCCCATACTTGCAGTAATCTCAGGTTTCCAAAGCCTGAGCTAACTCGTAAACCCTTTTCCCATATGTGGCTCAGCATTGGTAAATCCAACTTCAATTGCCTCAGCTTATCAAATGCTTGAGTAGAAGGGGTTTCCTGAACCAAAAATATCACTTCCAATAAATCGCACCCAATCTACTTCGAGATGTTCTAGATTGTCGCTAGCACTTGAAGTCTGAAGATTTGTCGGCGTAACCTGCCAAAAGGGTAGAAAAGTAATTGTATAATTTGTTAGCGTTTCAATCATATACATACGGGATGTTATCACATTCTAGAAATCAAGAACGTTGTTTAAAATGAAAAATGAAGTATTCATATAAAAAGAAGAAGATCATTTCACAAGTTACCAGTATTCATATAATGCCTTTGTTGTACTAGTGTAGTTGAGTTTCTGTCAAAAAGATGTCCTGAGACACTTTAAACAGAAACTTGTTCTATCCTTGGTTGTATTATATGCTACCTTATTTGTACGGCTTAGATTAAGCCACATAGTCATTCTCATATGTGTGGCTTACCCGATTCTTGGCTGAGTGATATAATTAGCCTTGACTTCTAATATTTATCATTCCAAGACAATATACAAAATGTGTGCTCAAGAAGCTAGAGAGAACAGGTTTTCTCCCATATCACATTTCTGGATTTTCTAACTTGAGACGTATTTTACAGAAATTCCTTCCTTGTTTATTTGCTCTTTTTTCTCTTGTGCGTGTGTGTGTGTTAGTTGAACCACAGCACCAAGATATCTCAAATTCCAATATAAAGTTTGGCTTTCCAAAAATTCACTTATTGTGAGGCTTCAAATTAATAAAACATAAATAAATATATATCTATTTCAGACTTTATCTTCAATGACATCTGTACCTAAGACCAATTTTTACAAAATAGAGGTATCCCTCTCCGTAAGTTATATATGTGTATACTAATATTGAGATGCGTAGTTTAGAATAATGGCGTACCTCTCTATTTACAACCTGAGGCAATATTTGAGTAAAGTTGCGAGTAGATGGACGACTTTGAAAGCATACTAGTGGCGAACATCCAGATCCAGTTGATGATGATGCACCACCTGATTCTTCTCTACCTCTTACATGATCATCACTCAAATTCTCTGCAATTGCAGGCAGCTTTTTGCTTAGTGGTGCAAAACCCAATGTCTTTAATTTGGGACAAAAGCTCACATTCATATTTCTCACTGAGGAGGACCATGCAAAGGAATAGTCATCAGGGCAAAATCTCTCGAGGCTTGGCAAATCGCAAGGTGGAAGCTATTGAGTAGTTTGGGAAACAAAGTCATCGCGCCACTGCCACCTATCTCTTTCCCTTCTTCATGGATATTGTCCTCTGTGGAAGCAGCTGCCTGTACTATAGTTTCCATATTCTCACATGCATATATATGGACATGTTGGAGATTCACAAGGAGCCTGTAAATTTCATAGGGGCATAGATATTTCAGATTGTCACATTCTACAATCATTAAAGATCTTACATTTTGAAAACCTTGGAATCCAGGTTGAACGTTCTTCCACAAATGTTCAACTCACTTAACATCAATGTGTAATTGAGAAAATGCTGAATCATGCCCTTTAAATCAAATACACATTGACTACTACCCTTCGAGTCGCAGTGTGGTCTGGTTCATTGTTCAAATACCCCAAAACAAGTTCCTCTAGATTTGTTAACCATGAAATGCAATTTGAAGGAAATAGTGCAGTACAACTTGCTCCACTTGTGCTACTTTTGATCTAGATGAGGTTGACCCAGCAACTTGATTGTCATTCTAGTCTCTTTCACCTTGTTCACACTTTCTTCGTTGGGCTTTAGAATCTGTACATTAATTAATTCTACATAAATAATGAACTTACACATGAGCCAAAAAGAAAGAAATACATAAGTAATGAACTTCCACAATTTGTCTTATTTCCAAATTGCCTTAATTATATTCCCACATCCTCTGTCATAAATTTTGAGAAATAATAATAATCCCCTTTTCCTACCCTCAATTACTATTTACCAATAAACATTTTTAACTCTAAGGGACATCTCAACCTTAATTTTCCAATGAAAATCATAGGTGTGAAGATTTAGAAATATAATCCCCTTCTATTAAGGGACATTCTAAACACACTACAAATTGGTTTTCAATTATCCAAACTGCCTATTTCTCAAGTCTATATTCATAGATTATACTTACAAAAAATTAGACAATTCGGAAACCATTTCGATATCTAATTATGTTCTACAAAAATTGATGAATACGATGCTTCAAGAAAGTAATAAAATCACAATAATTTAATTGAGCGGTCAAATGATATATGATTCAAGTGATTTTTTCAGAGATAATTTTTATTAAATATCTATAAAATAGTTGCAAAAAATTGAAATCCATCAAAAATCTCCAACATACCAAAAATGATTAAGTTCTACCCAAATCAACTTCTAGAACTGGAACGACAGTATTAAACACAACAAAAGTAGCATATTCAAAGAGTAACAAGTATATACCATTCAAGCATCAAAAGTGCATACATACATACCTCATAGGTGGGAGTCCCGTTGGTTTCCCGTGTAGAAACCACGGAGCTTTGGTAGGATAATAAGCTTCAAAAAACGTTAATCTTGGCAAATTATCATGGGAGATGCATTATCATCTTCCCTTCTCTCCTTTGATATGATATCTTCCACTTTAGCACAATTTTTCAACACTTAAGCTTGGGAGTTGTACCAAGTTTGTGCTATGGATAGTGAAAAGACATATTTTAACTCATCACAATGTCAATTTTAAGGATCTTAGGTTCGTAAAGGAGCGCTTGTCTAGCAGTTTGCCACAAACACAAATTTAATTTGTGAACATTCTTGAAGGTAGCTGACTTTAAGATGGGGAAGGCAGGTTGACCACCAGGAGTCCAATTCATTCCATTCATAAGATACTCTATGTTGTCGTCACACATGATTGATAAAACTTTCAAGTGTTGAAAGCCCCTTGACCATCTAACTCCTCGATGACATACTTTAAATTGTATGTGTAAAATAGGACTAAGTCTTCAGATTGCTTCAAGAAGTATCTAACTGCTCCAATCTCCAAATATTCTCTTACATCACCACGAAGCATCAAACTATTTTCGAACAGATACAGGCATTCGATTCTTGAAACTCTCTTTTTTGTAAGACCAACTAATTGATAGATACATGAAATCTTATAGGCTGGCTTTTAAAAGAAACTTATCATTCCGCAACATCTGAACATCATGGGATTTTTATGGCTAAGACTTTTAAATGATCAGATAGAGACATCACCTCATCAAGGCTTGCCATACTCGTTTCATCCTTGCTTCCTGTTGCTGGCCCCCAATTGAGAAAGCTTTCTGCCATGTACAACTCTTCTAATCTCCTCAAGTTGGATAAGACACCGTGAGGAATTTCTTCAAGTCCATCACAATCTGTTGCATCCAGCATCCTTAACTTATGAAGATGTCCTATTTCTCTAGGCAAACTTATTGATTTGAGAGCGAGCAAAGCTGAGGATCTCCAAATTCTCCAATCCTCCAATAACATGGGATAGTCTCCCAAATTGCAATCCTCTAGACACAAGGTATGAAGGTACTTGGGTTCTCCAAGCAGTAGAGATTTTTCCGAGGCCAAATAGCTTGACATATTTCACCTCTAAGAAAGCTAAAACCTTGAGTTCTTTCATTCTTTTAAAGTGGTTGGAATATTCTGAACTACTTGAGGAATTTTTCAGTTGCAGAAGCTCAAGTTTGGGGCACTCCAAACCATCAGTAATATTTCATCCAATTTAACATCAATTAATGAAATGCACTGCAATGTTCTTGGTTTGTAACTTTTTGTACCCCTGGCCGTCCTCCACCTCACACTTCAGCATCAAATGATCTTACCATAAATCTATGAGGATCTTTTGAGGCAATTGATATGGCAACATCACGAACTACGTCATGCATTTGATACACTCTTCCTTAGACTATCCAACAACAAATACCCTTCTTTTAGTTGTCCAACGAAAGAATGCACTTTGTTTCTTACATCTTCGATTATGTTGGTGTTTCTAAAAGTTGCTCGACCCAACCCATACCTCACCAAATACTCAATCGGGATATCATAATCTTCTGGAAATAAGCAACAAAGTAAAAAGCATGACTTGACTTCATCACTACTCAATTTATCATAACTCAATTTTATGCAAGAATAAACCTCGGGTTCCATTCCAGGGATGTTTTCAGGGAGGGAATTTTTCATTCTTGCAAGGCAGTATTCCATTCAGGCTTGCCATTACTTGGTAGAGAAGAGCTTTCCAACAGTTATGATAGCAATGGGTAAACCTTTGCATTCATCAACAATCAATTTTGCAACATGAGACAAATCAGGATTATTGTCCAAGGATTCACCTACAGTCGCCCTGAAAAGCTCCCATGCTTTCTTTATTTAAGGCTTGGACTCAAAAAATGTCATCTTTACAACCCATTACTTTACAAACTTCTTCATTTCGAGATGTCAACAAAATTTTGCACCCTTCATGATCACCAAAAGGGATTCCTACATCTTGTAATTTAAGCTCTGACCATACATCATCCAATATAATCAGGATTCTTTTACTCTGCTTGATTCTCTCATGTAGTCTTTGTGCTCTTACAGATTTCGGTGCCTCATCCAATTTCATACCAAGTGGCTCTGCAATTTCAGCTTGAATTGTCCTAATGCTTACAGTTGCGGAGACAGTTGACATCACAACGTCATCACAAAACATGACTCGTTCCTTCTAATCTCTTGATGATTTCTCTTACCATTGTGGTTTTACCCCACCCTCCCATCCCACAATCCCAATTATTCTTGTCTTTTCATTCCTCAAAGCACTAAGCACATCATTCATGACTGCTTTTCTGGATTCAAAACCCTTAAAACCTTTACTAGAGATTATTAAACCCTAGCTGTTGCAGATGTAAGATTGGCAAACTATTACTCAGTTCTTCATCTAGTTTGAGATCAAGTACACGCTCGGCAATCTTTTTGGCTTTCCTACTCAGAGAATACCGCGATTTCAAACTTGGGCACAATCCATACAAAAACACCTTTGCCCGTTGACTTGTTTTCAAGTTCTTCGCTTCATGAAATATTTTGCTTACTTCCTCAGCCAGCTCTGAACTTGATCTTTGATGGTTCCACCATTGCATTTTGCAGCATCCACAGATCTTTGCACATCATTTTTTGTCATCAAGCTTTTTAAGCATCCTCCTTAGACTTTCTATGTTACAATTGTAGCAAATTAGATAGCTGAGTTGTCTCCCAATTAGTGCCACTGGTTCTTCTACAAATTTAGATGCAATTGAAGTACAATCTCCTCCATTTCTGTTGCCTTTTATATAAGCCGGCAGAGACTAAGGAAATTCTCAACCAAATGATACTGTTGCAAGCGATTCCACACCTACAATTTTTATTATGAAAAATTAAGATAAACCAATCAAAACCCCACCAATCAAGTCTCATAACATTAAAAAAAAAATGCATTGTCATAGTTACAAGAACAAACAGTACACTCTGCAATTTTGGGTCGAATTCCAACTCATTATTTATAGATACTAGTCATTGATTTTATTGTTATAATTTAGCTCAATTTTAAAATGTACAATCACTATGGCTCTAAATCGAATCGATGTAGTTTGAGTTGGACTCATGTTCAGCTAGTTTTTTGATCGTTTGAAGCTCAGTTGGTAAAAGAAACGAGCATAGTTGGAATAAAAGATAAGGCTTGTTAAGGTGACCCGAGATTGAGCTTTGGTGTACCCAGCTCACAAAGGTCGTTAGAAACTCACTCTTGTATAAGATATTGTTTCGTTAAAGTTTGGTCTTAAACGCTAGGCTTACAATCTTACAATATTGGAAAGATGTCATGTAGTGGTTGGGGGAACCGCCGGTTTGGGGTTCGAAAACTCACTGAGGTACCTATCTAACAATTTTGCTAGAGTTTCCTTGCCCGCCAAAGATTGTAGGGTTCGACGGGGGGGCCCAGTTGGGAGCTGAATACGCAAAGCTGGAAGTGGAGTTCTGGGTTGTCAAAAAAAAGACCAAGGAAATTCTCAAACGAAAAATGCAAGCGATTCAACACTTACAATTTTAATTGTGAAAAAGTCAGGTAAACCAATCAAAAATCCAACCAAACAAATCTCATAGCAATTCTAACTCATAATCTATAAACACTCTTCTTCTTCCCCACCAAAAAACTTTCTCAAGACACCCAACTATCACAGCCACAGCCACACCCACCGCCGGTATCTCTCTCTCTTATTTCTGTTTCTCAATTCCTACTTTGACAAACACGTTTGCCAAACACCCACTGCCCACTCCTTGATTTGCTCAAGGTAATGGGATTCTTAGATCTCTCAATCATCCCATCATCAATGGGATTCATATGATAATGATATGCAACTGACGCGATGCTCTGTTTCAATTTAATTTGAAATCCTCCCAATCTAATTTCAGGTTGTTTCATGGATGGTGATTTGGTTTCATTAGATTTGAAACTAAGTGTTTCTAGATATGCAACTAAACTTTAGTTTCTACGTCAATCACAGCAAGTTTGAAAACGATGATTATGAGCGACGAGAGTGAGGTGGCTTTCTGGGATTTGGTTTCATTAGGATTTTTATTTTTATTTTGTTTGATTTTTAGTCTTTATTTTGACCTTTGAATTATAGTTAACACCATTAGATTTGGAGAGAGATTTGGAGAGAGAGAGAGAGAGAGAGAATAACAAAAGGGGTGTGATTGTAGTAAATGAAAATATGTGGGATCTGACTCTAATTATACCAAACTTCCGGGAGTCTAAGTGAAATCCTCCCTTGTTAAAATGACCCAAGCTTGAGATTTGGTGTGCCCAGCTGACAAATCTCGTTAGCAGCTCACATCCTTTATGAAATAGCGTTTGCTTCATTCAAGTTTGGGTCATAAACGTTAGGCTTTACGATCTTATAATTAATGCAAAGATGTCGCAATTATTATATGGTGTACTTAAAATGTCATTGATTTTTTTTTTTCCTCAAGGACGATCAATCTTTAGGTTTATATACTTACTAGCCCGTGGTACATGCTCACGCATGGGCCAATTGGTTTTCTTTTTTCTTTTTTCTTTCTTTTTAGAATTAAGAAAAGATAACATGGAGTAGTTATATTCCCTAAAAAGACCTATATTTGATTTGATATGAAAAAAAAGGGGCGAATTACATACAGCTCCTTTAAATAATAATTTTCAACTCTAATATTTGAATTAACAAATGGAAATTTTCTAGATTTTGAATGTTTCACCATGCTTTGACGTTTTGCTTTAAGATAGAGATATTTAGTGATATACCATTCTTAACATTACTATTATAGATAAACCCTCCATATTGAATTTCTAAAAACAAACCAAAAAAAAAACCCAAAAAAATGACAGCTGGCCTTATTGCATTTAATATTGATTATTAAATTACTTTAAGGCTAATATTGAGGGTTTGGGTATTTTATGAGATTTTGAGGGTTGGGCTTGTTTTAAGAAATTTATGGTAGTTTTGTAATTTATAGAAGTTAAGGCCCTCTTTGTTATGTTGTAAATGGGTTTTGGGTGTGTTTATAAAGTTCATTTAATATGGGTATTTTTATAATTTGAGCTCCCTATTGGGTAATTAGTGAATCTCCCTTATATATATATAGGTTATCATTCGTATTGCATTGGTTATTTTTTCAATTTCCATTAAAATCAGTGAACTTGGTTAAGAGCATCAACAATCATGCCGATTTCTTTAATATTAAATTAGCTAAAAATGCTAGAAACTTACTTAGGATTCTCTACCAAATTTCAACTCCAACCTTACTCCCAAATTTAAAAGGAATCAGAATTATTATGGCTATTTTTAATTCCAATTTTTGACTAAACGGCAGACCAAAAGCAAACAACAAAAAAGTGACATTAAATAATGGTTAAAATACTATTAAAATAAAGGAGCATTAAATATAGGGAAGTCACTAGGAGTCATCTCTCTCGCTCTCACTCACTCACTCACTCACATTCAATTAGATTTCCTAGAGGTCTCCATTTTTCAATTCTTTGCTTAAACACTTGTCTTAAAGAAGTGTTTTAGAAAGTCTATTGTAGATACTTTAGCCTCCCTTATTAAAAAAATGAGTTCAATTGAGGAACCATAACCACTCGAATCAATAGATGCTAGTCAAGCCTAACTCATACGGCCACCTATAATAGTGTTCACTAATATGTTGCGAAGATCCCAAAAACCTAATCCATTTAGTTAATTATTTTATGGAGTTATTAATCTTTTATATTTATTAGACCCTTCCACTAATGTTTAGCCAGCTTCCTAATTTTCATGCTATTTTTCTCAGGCAAAAAATTTTTTTGGGGGGGGAATTGGAAAAATAAAACTCAACAAAGCGACCCTATCACCTTAACATAGGAAGACTCTAGGACTCCTAAATGTGAATTTAGAACAAAAAGACTCTTAGTGACTCCTTAATTTATACCGCTTTGTGTTATGCCTATTTTAACACTTTTAATTACTTTCTTTTACTACCTATTTTTATAGTTTCTTTGATAGAGATTGACCAAATTATATCTGAATCAAAAAAATAGTATATAAGACAAGAGAGTTATTTAACCTACAAAAAGAAAAATTACATTATATGACAAGATCATAATTTATAGAAAGTAAATTTAAAATTAATGACGAGACACTAAGAATATAGTGGCAAGTAGCTCGATAGACGATGGATTTACTAAATGCATCAATCAATAGTAGGTGTGGGACGTGTACTTTGTCAAACAAGGAATATTAAGGCGCCATAATGAATGGTACTTAAATCTTAAGACACCATGTGTCTTATAAGTAGGTTGGGTATTATGGGTTTGCATGATTAATCCATACAAGGCTGTGTGATGTAAAATAAGGTCAGGCCAAGCAACCTCAGGCCCCAAGGGTCAGCTCACTTGCTTGTTTTAAAGAAGAATTGAAAAGAAGAAAAACTATTTAAACACAAACAACTATAGTAAAGATATATAAAGCAAAAAACCAAAAAAAAAAAAACTAAAGCCGTGTTTTCATCTCGATTTCTAGAAGGACATGTCCACTCAAGGGCCCCCAAACCCGGCTAGGCGACGAGGCCAAAACAGCCCTCCAAACTACTCCAGGAGATCGTGCGCCAACCTCTATCTCACCATAAGTGTACATCTTTTTATATCCCATTTGCAATTTAAATCGATTAGACGCACAAGACCAAATGAAGAGGTGGTTTTGGATTTTTCACTAATTTTGGTGTTTGGTCAACAAATCGAACGGAACTGGTTGTGAAGAATGTTTCAAAAAAGTATGTGCCAAAGGGTCAAACCGTAACCTGCTTGTTGAAGAGAGAGCAATTCTAACAGTTTGGGAAGGCTGCTTCTCTACAAAGGAATTATGCTAACAAGGGCCTCTGGCAAAAGCGCTTTTAAAGGTTAAAATTTCCTAAGAAATCCAATTGCTTCCTAGAAAAGCATTGTGGGTTGCTCCTGAAGAAGCACATAGTAGGTCTCTCCAGAAAACGTTTTACGATGTGCTAGCAGCCTATAACATTTAGCCAACACTATTAAAAGGTGTTTTTGTGTCAGAAGCATTTTGTAACACTCACAAATAGGCCCACCACTTTTTTGGGAACCCTAAAACAAAGTGTCGCATGCACAGTTGTTTAAAATAAAAAAATCAAAGGTTTTATGTAGATTCCGCTCATTAGTGGTTTTATCAAGCATTTTAGGCGCTTATGTTTTGTATTTTAGTAGTTCATGCTCGATTTGTCATCACATATGTTGTTATATACACAAGTCTTTGATCGTCTAACGGCCTGGTTTTTTGTTGTTGTCAAAGATAAGTGATTTTTATAAAGTAACAATGTTAGTACCCCCCCTTTTTTTTTATGAGCACTATGTTGATTTTCCACCTTATAGGAAAAAAAACATATAATACAACTATAAAAGTCACATGGCCCCCACAGCCCCATAAGCTCACTTGTAAGAGGTAGTTTGGTGACTTTGAATATTTAAAAGGTTCCTCCTGCATGAAAAACAAAACTTGGACTCCCCCGCACCGCGTAGTGTGCAATGAGCACTCATCCACAATCCGACCTCCCTCCCCCCCCCCCCCCATGATCAGAATGGAGTAACCGCCCCATCACCAAACAAACGGCTTAAAAGATTGGAAAAACTAAAGCCAGAGAAATAAAGATCGATTGTAATATATTTGTGTTGTTAAGATGAGAGAAAGACCAAGCAAAAGAGAAAAGCAAGGGAACCGAAGAAAATAAACAACAGACCCTTAATCTCAAAATAAAGAAAAATATTACAAAAGTTCCGAAACATGAGTTTTCCTACTAACAGTGTAAAGGAAGTCACTAGTGTTTGCTCACCCAACAAAATACTAAAGATAAGAAAAAAAAGAAAAACTAAAGTGTTCATTAGGCAACCACAAACATTGCAGTTTCGCACACAACATCTATACTCTATCAACCTACCAAAAATACAAAGTCCGGGAGTGGATTCCATCGGTCCTGTTATGTCCGCTGTGTTGTATTATGACATTAAATGTGTCGCGTACGTTTTTATTATATCTTTGTATATTTTATGCATTACTGCGGATCTAAACTTATCGTGCTTGGTGCTAACGGATCCTAGTCGAACATTTCCCAAATGTTCCTAAAAATCCTTATTGCCATTTAGTCATTCTAACTAGGGGTTTGGCAATTTCAAGCACGACCCAAACCGCCGAGAATTAGCGAGTTCACCAGCACGATTCAAATTGGGTCATTTTCGAGTCAATCTAGGCTATGACACGTTTACTAAACAACTGAGTTTTGGGTTCAAACCCATCAACCCGATAAAAAAACCTATAAACCAGTTGAACAAAACAGCGTCATGACGGATCAACCCGCCAACTCGATTAAAATACATATGTAAATTGCCAACCTCTAAAAAACCGGGTAACCCGCCAATACTAACCCATTATGTGTTGTATCGGCATTTCTATTTGTTTTACTATTCAAAGTTTTAAGGTTGAACCAATTCGGAGTCAATACAACACGACCCGAACATGCCGAGAACTGAACAGGTCAACCCGTGGCAGGACACATTTATTAAAACAAGTGGTTTGGGTTACAGATCCTAAACGTCTACAATCGTGACACGAACAACCCGTGCCACTCTAATTATATGACTAGCTACACGTCAATGATTTCACTTTTGTCCTTACTTTCTTTATTTTCATGTGGCCCCTATACTTTTCCAAACATTTCGGTCCCAGACTTATCCATAATTTACTTTGGTCCTTACATTTCCTTTATTTGCACTTTGGCATTATACTTATTTAAATTATCTTGGGTCCTTCCACTTTCAAAACGGCTTGGGCCAACAACTCAGACACAAATTTACAGAAATCGAGCATCTTAAAACTTTACTTAATATTGGTCCGAAATCCGGGGTGAAGCGGCAAAGAGAAATAACCAACTAAAACAAACACTTGAAAACTAAACAAAGCTTGTTTCAGGTGGACCCTGCCGAAAAGGACTCGGAAACAACATTATGGAAGGAAGGGATGTCTCTGAGAAGGCAAAATGAAGACAAGAGTGAAAAGGACGGTACAGTAATAACACAGCAGAATCCGAGGAAGTGACGAACATGCTTACCACGGAATAGCTAGAGTAGTGGATTTGCTTGTTTTTGGATGTCATAGTTGTCAACTGAGGAATAACCTTAGAGAAGGAAATTTTGTCAAGCAGCACCGGAGATTAAAGAAAATGATGAAAACTGAGCGGCAAAAAACTCCCCAGGCAGGATGAAACACCAGAAAGTCATAGCCGGTTCGAGGTAGCTTAGACCCGTCGATGATTGTCATGTTTGGGTAGATTATAGTATTCGAGAAGACGAACAACCTTTGATGAAGAAAGTTTGCTGATTTGAGTTTCGAAAATCAGACTTGTAGAGTGAGAAAATACCACGAGTTTGGGGTTTTCTGAAAGAAGAAGATGAACGTTGACCCACAAAAAAAAAAGAGGGAAAAAAAGAAGAACAAAGAAAGTCCAAGAAAGTGGCGGCCAGCCTTAACCCAAAATTTTAAAAAAAGGGGGCCAAGCCCGCGTGTGAACCAGACCCACTGGTGATGTGGTACAACAGAGAAAGAGTCACATGTATTTTTCGCCACTTCTTCCAAAGATGGCGTACACGATGAAGTTATGAGCGACCCTAAAAACATTTTCACTCTGCATTTCTCGTTCTCCCAGCTCAAAGATGAAGTTATGGTTACAACGAGATGAAAATGAAGTAACGTGAATCTCTTACGAAGGCCACTCCAAACACGGAACGGTATTGCATCATTCCTTGCTAATAGTAGACTTCAATGCAAGTTATGAACGGAAAGCAGAGCATGCATGATGAAACGAGGCTACCTTTGTGAAATGAAACAAATGAACTAACCCCCTTTCTAGCAATAATTAAGGAGATAAAGAGAAACTCACCTCTCCAGCAAATGTAAATCAATAAGTTTATTTTAATTGTTACCAAACAAGAAACAATAAAGCACTTTTTCTTTTCAAGAAGTATTATTTAACAAAGCTATCTTAATTGTACCGTGTTTAAAACATATTTTACTTGTATAGGTTTTAAAACATTGGAAAAATGCACTATCGAAAAGAAAAAACAAAACTCCTAACCTCCGAGGCTTATGCGGTTTACTAAGTCAAGGAGCTCAATAAGAAACTGGGCCTGAAATCCTATGGCCAGGAGGGCCAATGTTCTGTTGCCACGTTGGCAATGGTGACTCTTCTCAACGGATTTTCAAGACTAACCCTACAGATGTGGACAAAGGAGAGGTGTGGCAAAAAACGAGGCAGATTGTGCAACACAAGACCATCCCGTTCCGGGTTAACAAAAAGGGCGGTTATTGGCGTGACCGAGAAGAGGTTGCATTTTCTTATTATTTTTATTTTTGTCTGGATAATGGGTCAGATAATGTATTATTGCCAACCTGGCTACATCTATCGCTCAACTAAGATAGTGGTATATAATCGAGTATGTTTCCAACAATGATCAAGTTCATAGTAACTCTTGGAGTGATTTTTGTTTTAATTATATTTGCTAACCATAAGCGTGATTCAATGACCAAAAAGATAATTAAGCAGTAAAATATAGGATATAAGTAACTCCGTAACGATTGAAAACAAAGATGATCCGGACACTAGAACACCGATTTACCTGGCTTATCTATCCAAGCCTTATAAACTTGGCAATCTTAAGTACTAACATGTTTGATAATCGTAGCCTAGTTAAAAGGCATGGTCATGACACCCTTATTGAGAAGCAAACATGAGGGGGGCTGTTGATGAGACAATGAACGGTCCCGCCTTCTCCCCCCCGTTACAGGGCCTTGTGCTTTTGCGCTTGATTCGTACCTGTGCGTTGGCCTTCGTTCGGGGTTTCTTAGCCCCCCCACAAAATGTTCTTCCCCCCCACCTCCGCGATGAGTTGGGTGCGGACCATGACTTCCACAGGTTTCGCCTAAGCGATGGTTATCGTGACCCCTACCGGGTGTAAAACCTCTTGAGTGCAATGGAAGCTATGATCTACTACGGTTTGCTGTTACAGTGCCAGCCTCACTTACAAACCCTACTGGACCTCCTCGTTCTAACTTTACTGTTTCGTCTTTTGTTGGACCTCCCTCACCTTCTTGTCCATATAATACAATTCTACAAACAAACCCAACCTAATATCCAAAAAACAACACAACCAAAAAAGAAACACAAACAAACAAGCCTCTTCCTTAATACCACCAACCCCAAGACAGACGATGAGGGGATATTATAGTTTTTTTTGCACGTTGTTCCCCTGTGTCCCATGAGCTGTAAAAACAGCCCCTACACTATGTTTATTTTTCCATAGTGTGGGATCTTGAGTCCTACATCCACTTATACCTGCTGTTTGTACTCACCACACTCTACCGTATTCAATGACCGCTCGATGCCACATAAACCACCCCTGATCTTTGTTAGCCAACACTCGGCATCTTGTATCGGTGGACTTGGCCCGTTGTGGTGTTTTGGACCGTAATTTCTCTCACATCTCCCACTAGTGTCGTGTTATCCCCCTTTGAATCTCGAACGATGTCCCTCGCTATGTTATTGACGACTTGAACTGACTTCACGCACCCCCAACGTGTTGGATGCCCTTCCCGAAATTTTTTGACCTTCTTGTTTCACCAATATTCTTTTCTCTTCCCCCGCGTTTTTTCATTTTTGTTATTCCTTTGTTTTTTTCTTATCGTTTCTTTTCCCCCTCTTTTTTCCCCCTCCTTTCTTTTTTTTCTTCTTTGTCTTATCAATCTTCTTTTTTACTTTCGCTCTAGAACGCCCATCACCTGGCCTCTCTATTCCTGCGCGTGTATTTCGTGCATACCCCCTTTCTCGCGCCCGGATCTCTGTTTGTCTTGTCCGGAGTGTCCCTGAACGGTGGCCCTCGAGGCTCGGCTTGTTTTTTTTTTCTCACGCTCCTTTTTTACGTTGATGTTTTCTTATACCTTCTTTTAGTCATTTGCCTATCGACGTAGGTATCTTCCTTCCTTGTCTTTACGGGGTAGTAGTCCTTTGTTGTTTTTGGCTAAACGGATCGGCATGTACTATGATCTTTCACCTCTTTTCGATTTTCGGCATGTGTCCAAGACCGTGGGTGGCGGGACACCTCCCCCCGCCAGCTCACACGGTTGGGGGTATGCAGATTTTTTGTCTGCCTACTTTCTACCAGCATGTCCCATGGCGTTTATGTTTGTCCCCTCTTTTGTTTGTCCGTTAATATACATTGCCCCCCTTCGGCAGAGGCCTTCCACCGTTTTTTTATTTGTTTTTATTCGTTCAGTTCCACCCTCTGATAGTGCGCCGGATGGTGACTAGGTACATTCGTAATTTTGACGTTTCTGGGAGTTTTACCATCCTTTCTCCCCCTCTGACTTCTTTTTATTCATCTTGTGTTTTATTTTCCCCTAAGTTTTTATTTCCCCCTTAGTTTTTTTTCTTCCCATTATTTTTTATTTTTTTCCCTTTATGACACTTGTCTTTCCCTCATGACTCGTCCTTCCTCTCATCCCTTGATTCTCTCATTTCATATTTTGAGTTCCTTGTGATTTTTTTTTTTGGACCTGTGTTTTAGGAAGTGCGTTTTGCATACGCAGTGGTCATTTTTTCTCTTATTGATCCTTGATTGCGCCTTCATTTTTTCGTGCCCCCCTTGCCCGCTGAGACCTATAGATCACTTCGCGGCACCTTTAGAGAATATATACAAGCTTAGATTGGAACTTTTACTCTACAATTTTCGACTATTCCGTAAGCGGTCCTCCTAGTTGCTGCTGTATCCCTTTGCTTAGGATTTTCCCTCGGTAGCCTTGCGCTTCGGTGGTTATACCTTGGTAGTGTCATCTTCGAGGTTTCCCCTGCCGTTTTAGGATGCCCTTTTACCCATTTCAGTTTTCTTGATTCACGCCTTTTTATGTTTGTTTGACCGCGCCCCCTTTTTTTTTCCTGCCCTTTTTTGGCGTTCCTACTTTTGTGTTTTTTTCGCTGACTTTTTTAGGTCTAAGTCACCATACTCATTTACAGATACCCTCACCCTTCCCTATCACTTTGTTAACATAAGCATGTTTTTATTTTCGTTTTTATCAACTGCCAAGGTTTCAACAGAAGAGGCACGACTTTTTTTGCATTGTTCCATAATTTTTCCCTCTTCTCCAAGATAGCATTCGTTTTACGTATTCACTAGGTAGATATTCTTCTCCCTTAAAACAACGGCTTCTTGTAAGGGAAAGGTGCCTATTGAGCTCTAAAACACGCTAGATATGCTGATTTGTCACAAATGGGACTTGAGTGCTAATAAACTTGACGCTTACACCAGAGTTTCTTGGTCCTATGTGAGTAATGGAAGACACTTGTGCATTCTGTTGCCGGGGGACTTGTATAGACATGTGATGAGTTTGTACGGATAAATCAAGTATTGTTTCCTAAGGGCAGTTTGGCATGGTGTATTGAAAATAAGCGAGAGTTATGAGAGAAAAGAGTGGTGTGGTAAATTGTAAGTGTGTTGTAGTGTAGAAATGGAAAAGAGCGCTAATACTTACCAACCCAGCTTCCCCACCATTTGCGGAAATGTCCAACTCCTCGTGTCCTAGTTCTCCCAATTCCAACAATCCATTCTAATAACACGGTCCTCGGACGTGCCAAAAACCCTCCTCACGCTGCCACACTGGCCCCCATCAAATGAGTTAGCACTTCCTATCTGCCCCAAAATCCACCCCCAGCCCTTCTGAGAGGTGGTGGTTATCCTTTTCTCTCCCTGTTTTCTGCCTTTACGCCTTCACTCTATCCCCTTATCCGCTCTTTCTCTTTCCTCTGTCACTTATCAGTATACACCAAGTCTCCCGGAAAAGTAGACGACGCCTCTGCGCCCCGGTATCCCTACTACTCCAACGCTCTCCAACTCTCGTGAATTAGCCCCTCTTGCGCGTTGCAATTTGGCAGATTGCATAGAGGCCCCCGGCGCTACTCTCTTGTTGTCACTCTATGCACAGGTTGTTAAGGCTGCCAGACTTGCCAGTATTATGTAGTCGGACCCCCTCTCTTTGAGATCTGGACGTGTGCTTGATGTTGATATCTCTACGATGGTTATCTGGCTCTGGACACACGCGCAGGACGGGGTGGGTGTTGTGTAAGTGACCCCCAGGTTTTGTATGACAGTGTTGTTCGATGTGCCAGACCGGCTTGGGGGTGTGGGCTTCTTATTTTGTGCAAGTGAGGACTGTACATCTGTGGTACAGGAGCATGTTTAAAGTCCTTGGGTTTGGTGGGTTTTGTTGAGATGGCAAGGTGTTTTATTTTATTGTTTTTGTGGTGAGTGGAATGAACAAGAAGCCAAGGAATTCTTAAATATAGAATATAAAGTGGCAATTGAACTGCCAGGCAAGCCTTCAATGTTTTCCCATCAGTTTTATATTAGTTGAAGTTCAAATGGATTTAATGTATGGTGTCACTTTGCTCTGTCAAGATGTTTTTTTCCCTCTTATGTACTCTGTTTTGTAACAGCGTACAATATGTAGTGTATAAATGTTCTATAGTAGTTTTATCGTTATGTTTAAATTTTGATGTCGTAATCACCCCGAAATGGAACAATAGCGAAAATTAGGAGCTTTTATCCACATGTTTCTGTGAAATATAAAATGTATGTTCACATTCTCATATAATCTCAATTTTGTTTTCAATCATGATTTCGGTTATATCTGGCATGTTCTTAGAGACATGTTATGCAACTCCAATGGCATGTTCTTAGAGATGTGCCTTAAAAAGAATACTCGGTTTGAAATTAAGATATTTATCATTTTTCTGTGCTTTATCCCTAATATAGTATTAGGGACAATATATCTTCTGCTGCTGTTTTGACAGAAGCCTTTATCTTTGTTTTCTTATATTTCTTTGAAGCCATCCCATGATGGCATGATTCAAATATTTGAGTATTGATTCCATATTGTAATGGGAACAATCATATGTTTTCCTCTTTTCGTTAATGTAAAAAACTATCTTCGGAACCCCTAGGTGAACAGGAGGGACGGGAAAGTGAGAGTTTTGCAAGTACTGCTAAAAATAGATCATAATCTGTTTGTTTGCGATGTTCTTTTTCTTTTTCTCCAATTAATTTATTATGTTTATGAACCACCAGATTCGGGAAACTTAATCAACAAAGCATTGTCCCAGATACTTGTAGTCTGCCAAGCAAATTATTTATTACATTTGCGATTATAGTAACTGTTAATTCATGGGATAGCATGTCTGTTCTTCACAGCTTGACTTTTGTTGGTCTCACATTATAATTAGCCTTTGAAGAAAATTATGCCACAAGAAATATGGAAAACCTGCTGCAATTGTCATTATCCTGACTGCTTATATTTTCGTATGCACGCATGTGTTTCTTTTTTCTCTCTATATTTTTGTAAGTAGGTCGTAATGTTTGTATTGTTGATGTAGATTGCAATTAACCAAGCGATCAGGGAAACTGATGAGGATGATGAAGTTGACATGCCTATAGATGAAAAACCTGCCCTTCCACGAACACGTAACCGACCCCAAAAGGGAAGTCTAGACTTTCTTTTTGCTGCTTGGTAAGGTTTAGTTTTATATTTCAAATCAGCGTGCTGTCGTGAATGGTGATTCTTTGAATGTAAGGGAAAGAAGGGGATGCAGGGAAACTTAATAGGCTTTGACAATTTTGTATGTCAAATGAGTATTGACATTAGAATGTTGTGCCGATAGCCTTCGAGCCTAATGGCACCTTCTCTTCCTTCCTTGAGAATTAGAGTGCATGCATTGTGTTTCTTTTGTTTGTAAAAAGAAATATGGTATGAATATATAGAGTTTGTATAATAGGCAGAGGAGGTTTTGCTGTTAGTGTTTCCAATAAGCATGTTCTTGGTTGCTAGCAGAAGTGACAATCCCACCTGAAGGATTTTACAGACATTATTCATATAGATCAATAGAATGATTTCTTTAAATTTCGAATCGTTTTAATTGAAATTATTGTCAATTCTGAAATTTTTTTATAATTTATTTCAAGATACAGAATACAAAGTAGAAAAGGTTCATGAAATAAATCTGCTATGCCAAAACCCAAAAGTCGCCTTGAATATTGCGGATTACAAGAAATTGGCATTGCAGACTCAATTTCTCTCACAAATTATGAACATTTCAGATCTGTCATCTTTGACCTACTGCAAAAAAACTTAGGAAACATCAACTCCTGCATGTTCAGCCCATCACTGTCATTGAAATGGGAACTTGGAGTTTGCCTTGAGAAAATATCTCCCCCTGCTATCAATGGAATATCAACCCTCATAGACTTTATTACAAGAACAACAATAATTTGATTGATAGACTTGGTTACTGGAAGACAGATAACCATGTAAACGGCTTAGACCTGTACACAGAATGGAAGTTCTGAACTATTCTCCACATATATCAAGAATCAGCCTGCCCCATCCACATCCATACGCGGGCCTCTCTGCTGCCCTGAAACTTTTTCAACCCATCATCTCCGCCGTTTGAGACTCCGTTATTGGTAACTTGAAGATAACTTTAACACCTCTTTGCACTTAATATCTGATAAACAAAATATTCTTGATTCTTTTCCAAAATATGCCGAGCTAGAGCACAATCTAGCAAGAAAAAAAAACAAGAATCAGCTTGCTAAAGCACATTAATTGACAATAAAGGATCTCACTAGGTTTAACACAAGGCTTTAGAGAACTAAACTGACCTGTTGGAGAAGTTATGAGACACTGAAAAAACAAACACCACTCATGATGCCTGCTGATATGAAGCCTCATAACACTACCCTGGAAAGGTGCACCATCTGCCACTCTGAAGACTACAACCACAAATACATACAGATCTTAATTGCAGTGTTCACCCGATACAACTTCATGCATTAAAAGCAAATTGCAACAGAAGGTACGTACTCTCCAATGGGTTATGGACTATCTTGTACATATTAAACATGTTAAAAGCCAAGTAACCAGTCAATTCAGTACCTGGCTTCATAATTCATCCCGACAGCAGTTTACAACCCTTTGCTTTCAACTTGGATTCTAAACCAAAAAACTTCAATCCTGACACCACCAGATCTGCCGTCTTCTTCTTCATGTGTTCAATTAATACTTCATCATACACAATCATGTTGGCTTCTGTTAAAAGTTTGCGCTCTTTCAAATTAGAAAATATCTTCCTTGCCTCCTCTATTGTTCCATGCTTACACATGCCAGAGATGATAGCAGAGTATATAACATCATCCGGAGGACAACCCTGCTGCATCATCTCGTTTAGTACTTCAATCACCTTCTCAGCATTATTAGATTTACATTCATGGAGAATGGTAAGAGAATACTTGAATTCCATGGGCCCACTTGTCACACTGGCTAAGCAGTCACGAACAAGCAGCATAACTGTATCAATCTCGCCAACTTTGCAAAGACCTCTTGCAAGAGAACAATAAGCAGAGATAGAAGGAACACAAGACATCTCAATTATCTTATTATGAGAGGCACAAGCCTCATGGATGTCCTCATCTTCAACAAAACACATAATTGCAATGCTATAGGTAGACACATCGGGCTGCAAATCCACATCCTTCATTCCATTAAAGAGAGACAATGCTTTCTTCACTTTCCCAGATTTGTGGAGGGATCCCATAAGGATATTGTAGATTCCAACACTATAATAACCTTTAACTTTCAACTCCCCAAACACTTCCAAAGCTAACGGGACTCCATCCTCCTTTCCTACCATAAAGGAAAAGAATTTTGAAAGATCATCAATAACAGGAAAATCAAATTTCTCCATCTCTGCAAGCATATCGCAAAAGTTATCCATTCTTCTCATCTCAGCATAAGACACCAAAATGGGATTCACCGTAGCAAAATCTGGCTGAAGACCCTCTTGAACTGTAACTCGGAAAATCTTATAAGCTTTGTCAACCCGCTTCGCATTACATAAACCCTCAATAAGAGAATTATATATCCCCAAATCTGCCCTATACCCTGAATCCATCAAATCCTTCAACAAATCACATGCCGCTCCAACCTTCCTGTCTGCCACGAACCCCCCAATCAACACCCTGTAAATGGCTCTATCAATCAGGAAACCCTTAACCTTCATCTCCCTAAACAACTCGTATCCCTTCTCCACCCTCCCTCCCTTACACAGACCCGTAACCAGAGTTGCATATGCCATAACGTCTGCCCCTACCCTATCTCTCTTCATTTCCTCCCAAACCCTCAAACAGCCGTCCAAGTTCCCCTCTGAAATCAAAACCTTAACCATTGCCGTGTATGCAAACACGTCAGGTTTACACAAATTCACCCTCATTCTCTCCAAAAGCTGCAACATTTCATCCATTCTTCCCATTTTACAAAGACCCTTTATCAAGATCATAAAAGTAACACTCTCCTCGACCAACCCATCACCCCTAAAGTCTTCGTAAACCGATAATGCCAAATCCAAATAACCCGACTTCACTAACGCATCCATGATCCTATTGTACAAGAAAACCCTGGGTTTAACCCCCAAATTTCTTCATTTTTTCATACACATAATAAACCCTAAGACCTCTATTGGCATCGGAGTGCATTCTGATGAGAATCTCAAACTGTTTCTCGCTGGGGGGTTTGCCCTGCGAGTCCATCAACTCTGGGATTTGGTCCGCGGACCGGAACCGGTTGGACCTGTTCAGACAATAGGCCAAGGCATTGTAGGAAGCATAAGTGTGCTTGAAACCCTTTTGCTTACCTGCCCAGTGGAAGAACTTGGAAGCGGAGACGGGGTCGTTTTGGACCTTGAGCACCTCGGCAACGAGGTCGGGCGTAACCCGGCGGAGCTTTCGGAGCTCCGAGACGACTGGTGGGCCCCAGTGGTTCTGGTTCTTGCGGAACGCGTCGAGAATGAAGCGAGCGATAGGGGAGAGAAATGAGAGGAGTGTCGTGTCGGCAGGGTTGGATGATGAAGTGGACGGCGAGGATTGGGGGAGGTGTGGATCCCATTTGGAGAGTTCGAAGGACTGAGGTTGGGGGGCGGCGGTGGGGTATCTGCGGTTTGGGAGGGAGACGCGGTTGGAGAAGAGGCCGCCGCGGACTGTAGGGCGGTTCTGTGAGGGCTTGCGGTGGCCGTGGAAGAAGGTGAAGTTTTGGGGTTTAGGGGGTGGGGACTGAGGTGGCATTTTACAACTTGTGTCTGCCCCTATTACTCTCTTTCAGTCTTTCTAAAATTCTTTCCACTTGACAAAATGGAGTTCAAAAATTCAATGCAGGACCGGTTATGTTTAATTTTACTTCTTTGTTTAAATCCAAATCTATTAATATGAAAATCAAACTAAAACCAGACTGTGTATAAGTTTCAGTTTCGAAGCTAATTTGAGGATTAAAGTAAACTAAATTGGACTGAACGAGCACAGCACGAGATGTTTTTTTTTAACGCTCCAAGACTAAATTTTCAAGCTTTCTCGTATTCTTTCTACTTGCTTCCACCTCTACCCATCACTACGACTATGTTTGGTGCTTAAAATTGGATAACTCGCTAAATTCAAGGTATGTTGAAGGAAGAAATTGAGAAAAACTTCCATATTTTGTCAAAGTTTAAGGTAGAAGATGAAATAATCATGAAGGAAACTTATCGTTTCCAAACCCACTATGTTGACGGGTATTTCCTTTTTATTTTGTGGGAATTAGAATGGATTTGATAATATTCTATACATCAACATATTTGTCAGACAACAATTCGACCTGCTCCAAAATATTGGCAATAATTGGATCTCAACATATGGGAAACAATTGTTGTCACAACAGCTCCAAAATATTTATTTGTGTGAATACTTTGCAAGAAAACCAGTGTAGAAGAAGAGAAAAAAATGAGCTAATGAAGCTATGGATTGGGTAGGAGGAAGACAAAACCGACTGACTAGGTTATGTTATTCCCACCTTCCTCAATTGAATAACGTTCAGATACATAGGCCATTGAAGATTTTCCTTCCCTCCTATTTCAAAGGGAATGAGGTGTATTTTCCAAATGCACTAACATTTCAAGAAATAGTTTACTTTTTTCTAATAAAAATAAGATTTTGATTTGTTAATGAGATAATAATACCCAAAAAAAATTCATGTGCTCAATCCGATCATTTTTTATGTGTATGGCTCGTAACGCATTCATTTGTTATTATTCTAAATTACCGTTGTCTACCTTATATAACCATATTACCTTATCATTGCCTTTTGTCACATGTTTTGATATTTTCTTCTCACTCACCAAGCTCATTGCATCATGTCTTACTATTGCGATTTTTTTTCCCTTCAAATGTTTTGTTAGTTTCCTTTTTTCCCTCCCTGGAGTGTTTCTGCACTCAGTAGTCTCTTTTGTGTAATAATAATTAAGTGTCTCTACACTCAATAGTTTTCATTGTGCAGTAACAGTAAAACATTTTTTTTTATAATGTGCAGTTACAGCTCTTGGACATTAAAATTGACGGTTGCCCTTGGTTGTTCAAAAACATATGTTCAATGTCCTCAGTGTTGGAAAATATGAGAATAGAGGCAAAATGACGTGGGGATCAAAAGGACGCGATCCCTTCTTTTTTTTAATTTTTTTAATTTTTTTCTCTCTACTTTCTTTGAAAATGTTCCAAGTTCGAATTCCCTTTCTATATTAAAAAAAAAAACATAAATCGAAAGGTTTACGAGTCCTAAAGGCATCATAAATCGAAAGGTTTACTCCCTAAACTAGAGTAATTAAATGCAGCTCAAGTAAAACCTTCTTGGAGATAACTACGTGGGATAAAATCCCAGGATAAAAAAGAGTACCACACATGCCATCAAATAACAAAACCAAAATCACGTACAAATCATCATGTACAAGAGTATCTTGGAGCCAATCAGGGGGAATCCCAAACCATTCATGCCTATGAGAACCTCCAGAATAGGACAAAGCATAATTGGCCAATCGATCAGCTACTCCATACGCTCACATCATCCACCATGATAAGATCTTTATAAACCTAAAAAGAATAGCGAGCTATTTTGGGAGCTTTTTGTAAAAGTTATGGTCCAATCATGCCCCTAATTTAGGGAGTTAAAATGAGTAGGAGCAAACATGAATAAAGACTAGGATTAGATGAAACAAACATGGGGAGTAAATTAAGCCTGTGTAACAATCAGCCCCTAAATAAAATAAAAAAAACAAAAAAGAAGCTAAAATACTAATCATTAATAATAAGGAGCCATTAGGAATCTCTTTATTGCTTCTAATGTGTAGGAGCTCCTAGAAGACCTACTATCTCATTTAAGGAGTCCAATGGAGACTTTCTTAACTCCTGGGAGCTCATTTAAGTAGGCCTACTCATTATAACTCCCTATATATAAATTTTATGAAGAGCTTTGGAACTATATAGCTTTATTAAAACTAAACTCTAAAATAGGGAGTATGATTGGAGATGCTCTAACAAAAAAAAGACGGAAAAAATACTTAATATAATATGTATAGTTAATGTGCTGTTTGGTGTTGGTGCTCTACAAGTATAGGAGATTCTTGTCGGGTAAAGAACTACGATGTCGAATACAAAGCTGATATTTTGGATCGTCATAGGAAGGCTTCTTTGCCGTCTAATGTGGTCCGGTGCCAACAGCCGCAGACTGGGTATTCTAAATTAAATGTTGATGTTGCGGTGGATTTGAATGACGGATCCCGCAGAGTTGGTATCATTGTTCGGAATTCTGATGGGGACCTTGCTGGTGCGGTGGCTATGGCTGCGCCTAGTATGCTCTCTGTGTTGGTCAGTTAATCTACTTGATAATGAATGAACTAAGAATCCCATAATTTCAAAATAAAATAAAAGTTCATTGAGTTGTGTTACTTGAGCTAAAAATATGTCGGCAGCAGTTCTTCCAAACGGCGATATCTGACCAAGATAAGCAATTGGACTAAGCAAAGCAGCTGATCTTAGCAGGTTTAACAGCTTTTCTTGGGAGAAGGCGGCAAGGGCAGTCAAAGTTCCCTATAATTTCAATACTTTCCAAGTCTCAGTCATATTTATTTGTTAATTATATGTGTTACAAAAAAGAAAAAAAGAAAAGAAAAAAACCTGGATCCAGCAAATATTTACCAAGGAATGACCAACATAGTGTAATTTCCGTCCTGTTTGATTGTTCACATACTGGAATGCAGCAGGAAGATCATAAGCAGTCAATTCATCCCATGACCAGTCCCAGTATGCCTACATATATAAACATGTATCATTAGTACGTATAAGCTTAATTACGATGCAGATTATGATGTGATTAAAATAAAAGCAAAGTGATCGTACCGGATCATTAGGGCTAAGTGATGTGTGTCCGCTGCTAGATTCTGTCTCGCGAGCGTTGGCAAGCCATACATCAAAACCATTATCTGCCAAGATGAATGCCAAAGCCTTATCCGGCTCATTGAGCAGCCAAGCTGAAGCATCCTGTTATCACACATAAATTGTTTCTTAATTGACTTGTTATGCCATGTACTGTGTACATTTAGGGTTCAGGTATATGGTGGCTTAATTAGGTACAAACCAAAAGGAGTCCGTGTTGTAACAAAACAGGCAGCTTAGCTGCTGTCTTGTTACCGGACCGACCAGCTGGAACCCTTTGCAAGCCAAGGACATAACCATCTGCTGTTGTTAACCTTAAACCCACCAAAAGTTCCATGAAAAAAGATACAGCAAAGTTTAATTAGTCAATGCCAAAAAAAGAGTGACATATATAAACTGATGAAAAAAGATAAAACTAAGGGCTGGCATTTTATAAAACTTAGTTACTTTATGTTCTTCGCAAGCATAGCCTTGTGTCTCCACCAATGATTGCAAATGCCACCATCCACATTGTTGGTTGGTTGCAACTTTGAGCAACTGTGGACATGATGACTTAGTCAGAATTAAGATCATATGGATATTCCTGACTAATTAATCGTCCATTTGAGAGGCTTGAATAATTAATTGTTTAGCAATTTCTTGAAGCTCAGCTTTGGATTTTCCTTCGACTGAGAGGGAAGCTTGTGAGGTGCCAGAAGAAGAAGGCTTAGGATTCTGTGACTGTGCAACTGAAAGGAAGTCATTATAGACATAAACAGCAATTCTGTCAACTTGGAATTTATCCCCCCATTTAACAGAGTATTTTCGGGATAAAACTCGTGTGTTCCAATTAATCGAATAATGCCATTTTAAAATCCAGGGGACTTTATATCTAGCAATGAAAAGAAGCTGTTTGGGGAAAAATAATTCTGACTCTTTGAATTTATATTTCTTGGAAAAATAGTCAACTAACTCATAAACTTGGGAATGAAGAATTTCAGCAACTGGACCATGCTTTTCCCACCAATGGAGAAACCAAAAGGGAAAAGGGCTTTTAAATTTGCTATCAAAATTGATGAACCATGAATGACTGTAGTCAACTGTTTGGCGGAGGAAAATGGAATACCAAGCTTCAATATAATCAGCATAGCAAAATTGGAGGTTCGACTGAAGAGTTCTAAGATCATAAGGGTGTTTACCCCAATCTTCTTGGCTTAAGATTTGGCGAATATAGAAGGAATGATAGAGGATGATATGGGGTTGATTTTTATCTCTGATAGGCTTAATTTCAATTCACTGGGTCTCATGGAGAATATCACGGTAATACTGGGTTTTATATGGACTTTGTGGCATATAATGGAAATGTGGGGGAAAATAATTTTTAATCATCATATCTGGCGTAGTAAGACTTACAAATGGGCTCAATAACAAAAAGATGAGTGCTACTTTTTGGGAAATAAGGAGAGGATTTTTGGAAAGAGATTGGGGAAGGAGCAACTGGAGTGACGTGAGGGGTGATTTGCAAAGGATCATAACTGGAAACTAATGCTGATTGGTAATTAGGACGAAATTGGCCAACTGTGGTTCCTAAACTAGAGAATCTGTTTGCAACTGGAATAGGAGAACATCCCGAGAAAGGGACGATCTGAGAGGGCGACTCTGTTTTAACTGGGTTTGGTTTTGATTGACTTGTTCCTTTTGCTTATCTTTTTTGAGGCCATTGTTTATCCTGCAGAAATTCTCTAGTAAGAAAAGCAGGAACATAATTCTCACTTCCTCTCAAATATTCAATATTAAAATAAAAAAATACTTAAAATTGCTTGCCATTGTGCAAATATTTGTTTGGATGCAAT